CAGGGATATATGGGCATGTATTTTTTCTATCAAGTAAAATAAAATAAAAAAACAAAAACATATTTATAAAACTTATGTATTTTCTATAAAATAAAATAAAAATTAAAAAAACACAAACATTTTTATGAATTATACAAAAAACAATAAAATAACACAAAAAACAATAAAATAACAAACATATTTATAAAAAATTATGTATTTTCTATCAAATAAAAAACATATTTATAAAACTTGTGTATTTTGTATCAAATCAAAAACACACAAGCATATTTATAAATTATACAAAAAAACAATAAAATAACACAAAAAACAATAAAATAACACAAACATATTTATAAAACTTATGTATTTTCTATAAAATAAAATAAAAAAATACAAGCATATTTATAAAATATACAATTAAACAATAAAATAACACACACACACACAAAAAATACATCCCTCCCCAAGAATCGCCACCTTATCGTGGTGGGAGGGTTTGAGGACCTCCATGTTCCTGGAAGCTGTGTTGTCTGGGCCATCAGTCCCTGTTAGGGTCTCCATGGCAGCATGGTCTCAGGTAGGTGGTCGGACTAAGCGCGATTCAAACACCTGTAGAGAAGATGTTCCTACATTTAGAAACCATAAAATGTGAAATATCACGAAGTATGAAATATCACTTAATGGATCTTTAAGTAAATTTAATCAGAAGATCGGATCTTTTAATTGCAGGGATTGAACAACACTTCGTATTAACTTCAAGAAAAGAGTGAGTCAAGTTTTAAAAGTTTAAAGATTTATTACTAAATAAATTAAAACTAGACTAACTTTAACACTAGGTGTATGGTGTAACTAAGGTGAGGTAAGACTGAGAATGGTGTATGTGTGAATATTTCAGAACCAACAGATCCGGAGAAATGATTAGTTCTGATGGGAGTGAAGATGTTTATGTTTATTTATTTAGCAGACGCTTTTATCAAAAGCGACTTACAATTTATGACCTATAGGGCATGTTGTGATCTGTGGGGTAAACCGGAGTACCCGGAGGAAACCCACGATGATGATGTTTCGCTCTAAGCTTTTGGTTTGGAGATTTATAACACACATTGAGATGCCATTCTGCCGGCCTACGTACCCCTTGCGGAAGTCTCAGGTAGATAGGAATGTCGAGGTCCAGCTTGACCTTCTCTGGAACCGAAGCTGGTAGGAAAAGCAGCGGTTGCCGACCAGACCAGTCTTGAGAAACTTCCGGGTCACGACAGTTTATTGGCATCTAGCGAGACCCAAAAAGGGGTCGATGGTTCATCTTTTACTCTGAAAGGAACTGTTGCAGCAGGTGGTGGAGCAGCAACAGATTTTATCCAGCTTGTCGTTAGATTCTTTCGGCTGAAGAGGAAAGTTATGGATTGGCCACTCCGACAACTTCTCTAGAAAGCTTTGAACTGAAGTTTAAGATGGCGTGGGCATAGTTTTATAATTTGGATGTTTTGATTTACGGTCGAATCAAAAAGGGACAGATTTACCAAGCACCAGCAAAACCACGCTTCGCATCAGATCTGGAAGGTTCTGATTGGATCAGTAAAAGCAATGTGTCATGTGACTTTTTAAGCATTACGTGTGATCAGTCTCTAGTGGAAACGTTTAATGTTATATTACTTATTAAATCTACTAATCATAAACATTGCCATTTCACAGATTGGTTCACATTTATTATTGGACTAACACATTGTTTGATTAGCTTTATTAAAAATAGAGTTCTTCTGATTTATTAAAAGAAAGAGTTCTTTGTCTTCATTCTTCTCTTGAAATGGAAGGGGAACAGTTTAGAAGCAAATGCATGACCTTGAGCAATATGTCATGCAGATTAGTTCTGTGTCAGAGACATCTGAGGAGAGAGGGTAAATAACCTTCGGTGGAATAGCTCCTTCATCACGTTACACACCTAAAGATTAGACCTCCTCTATATGGATGACAAGAGCGAGCTTGTGATGCCACCATCAGTGTCAGCCTGAGGAAGTTTGCAGCCGCAAACGAAACGTAGCGGGAAAACAGGTAACAAAACTGTTCTGTGTTTAAAAAAAAGAATTACAGCATGGAATTAGAAATACAACACAGCAAGAACACACCTAAGATGTTCAAAGAGCGAGCTCTTGTAGAGAAGGTGCTATCCACGGCCAGTCGTGTTGATTATTTGGGAGACGGGGATCTGACCTCTGCAGGACAGCAGTGGGGGCACGGCGTCTCCTTGGTATTTGATGGAGACTTGTGCTCTCTTCAATTAGCCATTTAGGGTGAGTCCTAGCCTGACATGCCTGACTCCTCCTGTTTAATTCTGCACAGACTCTGTGGCGGACATCCAACAAAGAGCCTCAGGTCACAGAGTCAAACAGAGGAGTCTGGCATGCCAGGCTAGGTGAGTCCCATCCTTTAGCAGCTGCTTCATTTATGCTGCCAGGCGCTCATGGAGTGCAGTGAGCTTCTTAAGCCAGTAGGCGTGGATCATGTCAGGTCCTGGAGCTGTCCAGTTCTTCAGACCTGAGGCTCTTTGTTGGATGTCTGCCACAGTGATAGACACTGGGTTCTGCTCTGCTCAGGGAGGCTAGAGAGGCTAGCCCCTTTGCATCACTGTTCAGTCTCCAGCCTTAGTGAACACACACACACACACACACACACACACACACACACACACACACACACACACACACACACACACACACACACACACACACACACACACACACACACACACACACACACACACACACACACACACACACACACACACACACACACACACACACAGGGGCCCTCCAGCTGTCCACATAGTAAAGAACACATAGTGAACAAATCCTCTGGTGAAGAACAAGAAGGACCCTGACAAAATGGCGGCTCCCTTAATTAACCAACACTTTTGATGTGGTACAAAATTCTGACATGGTCAATATAAAGTTCTAAACTACGGTACCCCAGAAGATTCAGCTACATACAAAAGCCAAAACCCAACGAACAAACATGTGGAGCAGAACTGCTGCTATGCTAACACCTTAGCTAGGCTGAAACATCACTGAGAGACAGTAATGTCCTCCTGGTCCTGGGTCACAACACCGCTGCAGAGCCCCACGGTCCCTAACGCTCTGGTCTCCACTTTACTTACAGTTTTGGCCTAAGGAATCAGTCTAATTATTAATGCAGTATAAGTTCTGGTTGTTCCATTTAATTTTACTTTACTTCCTTTTATCATCACTTTCATTGTAGCTTTTAATTTTGTTGCAGCTTTTCAGATTCAGATTTCAGATTTATTGGCCAAGTAAAATTACATTTACAAGGAATTTGTCTTCGGTAGATGTTCGCTCTCTAAAACATACAACAACCATAATAAATGAGAATAAAAATACCTAAAAACACATAAGAACATGTATACCCACACACATGTTCATTTACACACACACCTATATACATATATACATACCCACACACGCACGCACGCACGCACACACACACACACACACACACACACACACACACATCCATAAGCATACTGATTAAGTATTAAAAACTATAGTAAAATGATGGTAAAAGAATCTACAGATTCAGGAGAGACATGGCTGAAGGAAAGAAACTGTTCTTGTGTCTGGTGGTTTTTGTGTACAGCGATCTATCGCGTCTGCCAGATGGGAGGAGATGGAAGAGAGTAGATGCAGGATGTGTGGCATCTTGGACAATATTCACTGCCTTTTTCCTGATCCTGCTGATGTACAGTTCCTGGACAGAGGGCAGTTGGGCACCAATGATTTTTCCTGCTGTTTTAATAATACGCTGTAGTCTGCATTTGTCCATTTTTGTGGCTGACCCAAACCAGACAGTGATGGATGAGCAAAGTATGGATTCGACTGCAGCAGTGTAGAAGATGATCAGCAGCTCTTGTGGTAGGCCGTACTTCCTTAGTTGCCGTAAGAAATACATTCTCTGCTGAGCCTTTTTGAGGATGGAGTTGATGTTTGTTTCCCACTTCAGATCCCTGGAAATGATAGTTCCCAAGAACTTGAATGAGTCCACCATTGACACTGGGCTGTTGGATATTGTGAGGGGGGGCATCACCGTGGGAAGCTTCCTAAAATCCACGACCATCTCCACAGTCTTAAGGGTGTTAAGTTCAAGATTGTGCTGACTACACCAGACCACCAGCCTCTCAACTTCTCGCTGATAAGCAGACTCATCACCATCCTGGATGAGCCCAATGACAGTGGTGTCGTCTGCAAATTTCAGGATTTTTACAGCTGAGTCATTAGAGGTGCAGTCATTGGTGTACAATGAAAAGAGCAGTGGAGAAAGGACACACCCCTGTGGTGTACCGGTGCTGATCAGCCTTGTGCCAGACGTAACATTTGTTTGCTGGTTCACTGACTTAGCTCCTCGTAATGAGAAGGAAACAGTAAAATTCACTTTTTTTTTACCACATTTATTTTGGGCATTTTTTATAGCATGTCTAAACATAAAAAATGCAAGTTTCCTTGAGATTTTAGTTGACCTTCTGTGTAAATGTGGTGATGGAACAAAGTTTACATCCAATTTAAAATTTAAACAAGTCAAAGACAAAGTTTGAGACTACACAACCTTTGAAACATCAGCTAGAGATGTGGGAAAAAATAAATATGAACATTTCTGAAGCGATGATCAATGTAACATCAACTGTTGGCACAGAAAAAACTTCACCAATATTAATACAACACGGGTTTATTCTTTTGTTTTGTTTTTCAGCCGGCTTCCTTGTTTTGAGCATCTTTTTCTGTATGCAGGCTTTACCCGCGGAGCAGACGTGGTCCCAGCCTTTCACTCGCCTTTAGATCAGGTTTCTGGCCAGACTGTCAACTTTAAACACCCGATGGAGCTCAGGTGACATGAATCTGATTCGCTCTGCCTTCATCAGTGAAATGTCTTCGACGGCCTGTTTTGTGTCTTTGAAAGAAAAAACGATCTATTACTCCATTTAGAGAAACTAGATTCAAAAACTCGTGCAAATGTAAAAATGGTTTCCTGATCCAGGTCTCTATTTTAATGGTTAATATGAGCAGAGCTCCACTCTGAGGCGTTTGTTGACTCCCCTCTGGATGTCCGAGGGTCATGTTGATGTGTTTTGCACCAGAACAACGACCTGTCCAGTCTGATCAGCTCCTGCCCCAGGGGTGTGAACAACCTGCTGCCGTAGGTCTGGTTGGATGTCTTCGGAAAACGATCCGAGTAGAGGGACACGTAGCTGTGGAAAGGGTCCTCTTGCTTTGGCTTTCCCTGTAGACATGGAGGGAGGATTAGAAGCTAAAGAGCATTTTTATATAAAAACAATAGAGATGCATTACATATCCGCATCAATATCGGCAATGTTATTCATTATATAACATACGGGTATTGGGCCGATATTAACAACTTTTCTCCATCTTGTTTCCTGACGTTTATCTGTTTCTGGGTGGGGGGGGGGGGGGTGTAATTGTTTAATTGTTTAGTCATGTAACAGTGATGTTATCATGTCACACACACACACACACACACACACACACACACACACACACACACACACACACACACACACACACACACACACACACACACACTCGTTTTCCTAGCCAGAGACCCACCACGGCTACTCTGGAAGCCGGCGCAGCCTCTCACAACACCGCGACCCCATCTGCCACATCAACCGGGGTCCCCACTGAAAAGGCAGTTTAAGCAACTTTTTTGTTCAAAGTTTCACCACAAGATGGCACTGTGATTTTGTGAATGCCCTAGAAAGTTTATTTAACATGTTTATTTAAAGTATTATTTTTCATGTTTTCAATACATTTTATAGCATTTAAAGGTGCACAGAATTAATCATTTTTTATGTTTGAGTAATTTTGAATTGGATTATTTGATAAGTTGTGTTTAAGAGCGCTGTGACGTCACTTCCTGTCTCTCGTAGCGTCAGAGATTTTAGTGATGCGAACGGACAAATTTGTGCAAATTAAGAACATTTGAGAAGAAAGTTAAGTGTTTTGAAGTCTACCGGTTTGTCTACTAGCAGGCCAAAGTGGTATGTTTATTCTTTATTTATAAACTCTGTATGTTAGCAAACTTAAGGCAACTAACTTGTTAATTTGTACATGATTTATGCTTTTTCATTAGTTCTACGGTGTTCATGTGGTGTAAAGATAAAGAAGATGCAAGACCGCATTAAACTTCAGTAAAAGGAACGCTCGTGTCTCTCGTGTTTGTGAACAAGCCGGCACACCTATGCTGACAACCATGGGCTACATCTCACCCGGGACCTGCTCTAAAACCGTCGCGAAGGGATACAACCCACCCACACGAGGGATCACCTCAACCGCATCTCACGCCAGGACCCACGGCCCCACCACTGCAGTGTCTACCACAACGTCGGAGCTCTCCACACCACCTTCTGAGGCTTCCACCTCGCCTGAGACTTGCAGTCCGGCCACCGCATGAGAATATGGAGAGAAATGGGTAGTCAAACTTCTAACCGCACATCTTGACCAAACCATCAATACACAGAATGCAATTCGGCTTCAGATCCCATCATTCTACAGAAACAGCCTTGTGCATATTAATAGAGAACCTGAAAAGCTTTCTGGACGAGAGTCACTGCGTCGGTGCAGTCTTTCTAGATCTAAAGAAAGCTTTCGACTTAGTTAACCATCGCATGCTATTATCCAGGCTGACTCAATTTAACATCTCCAACCGAGCTCTTCAATGGTTTGCCTCCTACCTAAGTGAAGGTAAACAGTACGTGGCCTTAGATGGAACAAAATCCACACATCTGGACTGCGTGCTGGATCAGCACGGATTGGGATGGATTAATTACACCATTATTGGATCCAGAGGGGTTGGAGACCAACAGAACTCTAAGGTAGAGAGGAAATTATCTCTGTCTGTCCCCAAAACAATTCTTATCTGAATCTGGTGCCCTTGAGCCTGTGAGGCTGAAGTGAAAACACCCCCCCTCAGAAGAAATTTGGAATGCTGCCGTCGCTATGGAAACTCTTTCTCCCTATCCCAGCCTGGGCGGGACTGACCGGTGAAGGCCGTGGAACTGTATCTAGGAGTCAATGTGCCCTCTAACCCATTATCTCCCTCCCCTATCCAAATGGAGGTGATGAGCGCTGCTCCATGCGGCTACACACACTGAAGTGAGGAGAGTCCCAACCCTACCTCCCCACCTAGTGGGCACTTATGTTGTGTAATGTCTGAAGTCTGTGTGCATATCTGTCTGAGGTGTTTTTTTTGCATAGGAATGCCACCCTCTCTGTTGAGGGTAACTCTGAAGTGCCTTTTTTCCCTCCCCCTGACTCTATCCTCATATAAACCCTCTTGATCTATTACGGGTTGCGAATCACCACAGTCACCAATTCTTGTCAAGTGTCTATGTATGCATGTATGTATGTCTGATCTCAGAATTGTGTGTACTGAAACTCTAATTTCCCTCTGGGATTAATAAAGTATTTTTGAATTTGAACTGAATTTGAGACCGGCGTTCCCCAAGGATCGGTTCTTGGACCAATATTATTCTCTCTCCATCAACAACCTACCTGACGTCTGCAAAAATGTCTACACACAAATGTATGCGGACGATGTCATCATATACCTGCAAGCTAACAACATCGAACAGGCTGGTAATGACCTAACAGCAGCTCTATCATTAATCTACGACTGGTTAAATGAATCTTGTCTCCTACTAAACACCTCCAAAACTGTATGCATGTACTTCACAAAACGTTGTTTAAAACAACAAAAATCAAATGTAATTTTGAAAGGAAAATGCTTAAATCAACAAAAATCAAATGTATTTCTGCTCAAGTTCAATAATGAAAACTTTAACCACATCAGGAACAATCTAGACACAAAGACTGCCAAGATCTACTTTCACGCGATGATCAGCTCCCACTTAGAATACAGCCTGACAACTTGGTCGCTCAACTCCCCAACTACACTAAAACCGGTCATAACACAATAAAAAAGAAGCCTAAAGCTGCTTGATAAAAAACCCAAGGCTCACCACCATTGCCACGTGTTGAAAAAGCATAAACTCCTCAACCTAGACAATCTAATCAAACTCAAAAACTTGTGTCTAACATACAAGGTACTACACTCTCTCGCTCCACCTCCGCTAAGCGACTTTATTAGATACAATGGCACCTCAAAAAGAGCCACCCGCACATCATCACGCGGGGACTTAGTGATCCCCTACAGAAAAACAACATTTGGGCAGAAAGTCTTCTCAGTACAGGGTGACCACCAGTGGAACAGCCTCCCCCAATCCATTGGAAAATGTTCCACCTTCGCCACATTCAAATCGGAAACCAAAAAATGGCTCTGGTCAAATCAGCTATGTAACCACGGTGCAAAAACATAATCATGAAACCAAGATACTTTCACTACAAATGCTATTCCTGTATGCTAATAGTGTGTACTCCTTACACAAAATCTGTAATAATGCATGCTAAAAACGTGAACTATGCTATCCTCACCGATGGGCCTACTACCGTACTGTATCCCTCAGTATTTATCTCTGCTCACTTAAATGATGCCATTGGACCACTTTTTAGTATCCCTGGACTACTTTCTGAATGTCAGAGAACCCAGAATCTCATATTTGTGTCTTATTGACGGCTTTTTTAAATTTATTTATTTCCTTGTCAACAAACTCTTTGTTAACGTCACTGGACTTTAATGTGACAACCATCTCAGGACTACAGATGGAAATTAGCCCTAGGCCACAATCTGGCGTGTTTACATTCATACTATCCCTACATGTATGTTCATTAACATGCACTGTCCCAAATAAAATATTCCTTCCTTCACTCATTCCAAGCCCCCACAATGCGGCTCAGAAATTGGTCTCAACCCGGAAGCACCAAAACTTGCAGTTCCACCCTCATCCGCTGGGGGCTGGTGTCGGAAGCGAGCAAATCCTCATTGACTCCCATGTTAAAAATACCAATTTCACAGCAGAAATAAACATGTTTACAGCCTGGTACCAAAACATGTTTTTGGTTTAAATGATCTAGTTTACACTCATGACAACTCTGAGGGGGGTGAATTTTTTCTCACTCTTCTGTTTAAGTGTATTAAAAGCCTAAAATTCTGTATAATTAATGAGCATCAGACCCACGTGACCAGAGAGCTGGCTCCGGGGAAAGGCCTCAGTAGAGCCTCGGTCTGGCCTGGAAACTGTTCCGGGATTTTGAGTCTCTGTGTTTGTGTATTCTGTTTTGGATATTATTTGTGCAATTGTTGGACAAAATAACTTGCTGTGGCATTAATTGCACTAATACAGCGTCCAATGAGTCTCCACTTCATTTTTTCCGGTAAGTAAAATTATATTTATGTATTTTAGGCAAGCCCCCACAATGCCGCTCAGAAAATGGTCCCATCCCGGAAGTAAGAAAAATTGCAGTTCCACCCTCATCCGCTGGGGGCTGGTGCCAGAAGCGAGCAAATCCTCATTGACTCCCATGTTAAAAATGCCGATTTCACAGCAGAAATAAACATGTTTACAGCCTGGTGCCAAAACATGTTTTTTGTCTAAATTATCTAGTTTATACTCATGACAACTCTGAGGGGGGTGAATTTTTTTCTCACTCTTCTGTTTAAGTGTATTGAAAGCCTAAAATTCTGTATAATTAATGAGCATCCGACACACGTGACCGCCGCCTCAGACCCACGTGACCACAGAGCTAGCTCCGTGGAAAGGCCTCAGTACAGCCTCGGTCTGGCTTGGAAACTGCTCCGGCATTTTGAGTCTCTGTGTTTGTGTATTCTTCTTTGGATATTATTGGTGCAATTGTTGGACAAAATGACTTGCAGTGGTATTAATTGCACTAATAGAGCGTCCAAGGAGTCTCCACTTCATTTTTTTCGGTAAGTTAAAATCTATATTCGTATTTTATGTCACTGCCACCTTTAAACTAGCTGAGTTTACCGAAGTAGCTAGCTAACTATCAGTTTAACATGTAGCATGTACTGTTTAACCATGAAATTTAAATGTAAAATACGGTAAAATAATTAATAGGGCACATTTAGATGGGTAATAGGGTAAAACCCAGTGCATTTAAGATAAAAATGGGTTGAAATATGACGGAGCGCTAAGAGGGAGACTTCTGTGTCCATTCTTCCATCCGGTAATCCCCAGCGGTCAGGCCGGGCAGCCTGACCGATCCGGCGCCTACTTGCTGCGCCTAGCTGCTGCGCGGTCTGACCGCTCGTGGAGTTTTTCATGTCTGACTTTAACCGCATCTAATACTGTATTACGGCGTGAGCGCAACAGCGACAACTTAATATCAATGTGTAAGCAGCCTGAGTGGTAGGGTGTTTTCATCTGAACCCTTAAAACCTCCAGCAGGCTATGCTGCACTATTGACGTGTTAGCGCGCGGCGCTAACAACTTAGCAACGTGACATGTCTCTGAGAAAGCGTAAAACACGGACGCTTCTTCTGAAGCGGAAAATAACACCTCTTCTTAAGCAGAGCAGGATGTCGCCTCGGCTCGTTCACGGCCGAGCCGGACTGAGCTCGATAACATTGACCAAGCACAGCCACTGGGCCGTTGTAGCTGCCACCAGGCCTGCTGAAGGAACTCCAGCGGGTTTCATCAGACTCGTAAAGTTTCTTGTTTTTGCTGGGGATTTCTGTATTTTACCGCTCCCTCCTGCAGTCTTCCCCTATTAAAATTTAAAATGTGTAACTTTATGTATTGTGATGAATGACTAATATTCATGTTAAACTGAAACGTTAGGCATTTAGGGGGAAAAAACAAAATAATAAACATACAGATGTCAAATAAATCAAACTGTAATTAAACTATATATTTTCAAAGTCATATAGACAGCATGATGGTTTGTGTGATCCGCGCGGTTTCACTTACACCCCTTTAATGATCAGGCTGTTTTTTATTATTTTTATCAGCTGATAGCAGTTAAAATTATGGTAAAAAATAATTTTATCTGTTTTTGATAACTTAATGCCCAGGAAGAGCATCTTCCTGGGCATTAAATATAACCCAAATGTTTTATTATGAGCAGATCTGATGAAGGTGTAGACAAGCAGTCTGCAAAGTAAAACTTGTTTAGAGTCCAAACTCTTACTAAAGCTTTTGAAAAGAAAAAATGGTTGAATTTTGAGAAATATCCACAACAGGGGAGCGAGACCTCTGAAAAATGTATATTTTCTCTGAATTCATAGAATAATGTGAAGATTCTGGGAAAAGTTGGGATTCTGAGATTAAAACGTAAATCTTTCTAATCATAATTCTGGCAGTTTTTGTGTCCTTCTGCTGTGGAAAGTCGTGCAACATGAAGATACTGAGAAGATGCTTACAACCTGTATTTTTATTCCATCCACAAATAAAATCATGAGCTATTTTTTTAATCCAAATTTGATACAAAGGGCCATCGTTGGTTCCAGACCCGTTCTAGAACATTCCTCTAATCTTAAAGTCATCATCAGTTTCTTCCTTTTAACAAATATTTATTTGTTCAAATATTTAATATTTATAACTGGAATATTTGTTCCTCCCTCTCCCACTGCAGTTAGTCCTGTCCTGCAACCCTGTTTTTGCAGCTTAGTGAAGCCAACCATCACTAACCGGGGGGTGGTTTTGGACCCAGAGATGCGGATGGACTCCCACATTAGCCAGGTGGTTAGATCCTGCTTTTCCCGGCTTCGCCAGCTACCAAAGATGAAGTCCATCCTGAAAGACGTGTCATATTTTCTCCCCAAGCTGGACCTGACCGTCATGTATCGGTCCAAAATAGTGTGATGATATTGTGTTTTTTGTACATAACAGACTTTTTAACAGACAAATTTGTCGCATTCTCCTACACCTCTTCATGGGCTCGCCACAGTAAATATTCTATTTGGCAAGAGATAAACTTTATTGTATTTATCCTAGTGAATCTATAATTAAACGGGTAAACTAGTAGTAGCACATCCAACATCAAAGAAAGTAAAATGTTATTATCAGGAGAGGGAGAATGTTTAAGTGGTTAGCAGCAGTGTGCTAGCCGATGGCCCCCTCCATGAGGCCACCACAGCTCAACAGAACATCGTTGTAGCTTCTTCTGGGGAGAAAAACACTTAGAGAGAAAATAAAGTTAACAGCTGAAATAGCAGGAAATAATACAGTTAAAGAGCAGATAGTAGAAGAAAGAAACCCCTGGGTTAAACTGGTCTGTCTACTGCATAATGCTGAACTCTAACATGTATCCTAAGGGAAGGACCTGATTGGTGTCCAGAACCTGCTGAAGAAGCACCAGGCTCTGCAGGCTGAGATCACAGGTCATGAACCTCGCATCAAGGCTGTCACCCAGAAAGGAGAGACCATGGTGGAAGAAGGTAGAGCAGGTCTGGTCCTGACATGTTTCTGAGGTGTCTGCAGGTTCTGGCTCACTTTTTTTGGGTCCAGGTCACTTCGCTGGTGAGGAAGTGAAGACTAAACTGTTGGAGCTTCATGGACGTTGGGACACGCTGAAGGCCAAGGCGTCCCAGAGGAGGCAGGACCTGGAGGACTCTCTGCAGGCCCAGCAGTACTTTGCGGATGCTAATGAGGCCGAGTCCTGGATGAGGGAGAAGGAGCCCATCGTTGGAAGTCCAGACTAAGGGAAAGACGAGGACTTGGCCGAGGTATGGAAGTCCCTTCCTGAGAAACTCCAATCGCTTTTCTTTGCTCTCTTTCCAGTCCTTCATAATTAGTGTTTCTGTATTTGGCATTTCCTTCGGTTGTCTACCAGACGTCGTTGCTCGTTTAAGCGTCTCATGGGTTAGGGGTAGAAGTGCTGGCCTCGCACAGGAAGTGATGACAAACGTGTTCCCGTCGCTCTTATTTCAAACGGTTTACAAGCTGTGATGTGTGTTCCCGCTGCAGAGCAGCCATGACACGTGGCAGCCGGCAGAAGGCTCACGCTTTTCCACTAAACACCCGCAGAGCTACGTCTGCGGTGAACTGAGCAGGGTTTGTTTTACGGTGGCGGATCCGATTGGACCATCGCTGCGAGAAAGCTCCACTTGTGTCAGATGAGCTGAAGGTTCTGATGTTCTGCTCCACAGGCTCTCTTGAAGAAGCACGAGGCCCTGATGTCGGACCTGTCGGCTTACGGCAGCAGCATCCAGGCCCTGAAGGAGCAGGCCCAGTCCTGCAGGGTGAGTTCAGAACCCTCGGCCCGTCAGAACATTCTTATCCACCACGTTCTAACACCAGACCTGTTAACCCGACAGCAACAAGGTGATCAGCAGGTGCTTTTGTCCTGCAGGACCTGAAGGCCAACGAGTCCCGCCTGAGGGACATCAACAAGGTGGCATCTGAACTGGAGTCAGAAGGTCTGATGGCTGAGGAGGCTCCTATGGTTCAGGCTCAGGTGAGCGTCACCTGTCTGCAGCAGCTGGTCCCTCTCACTTCCTGGTTTAACTCTGCTCGTCTCTGTTTGTAGCAACAAGAACATCTGGGTTCTGCTCCTGGAAAGGTGCGTGTTGTCCTCCGCCTCCACCAGAACCAGACGTGGTGTTTATGTTACCACTCATTTGTTTGTTTACAGGATGAAGCCGACTCTAACACGGCGTCACCCTGGAAGGTGAGTTCATTCAGCTGATCAGAGGTCACCTCTGATGGCAGCAGTCACGGCCGACCGTGCTGACATCACACAGGAATTCAGGTGACCCGGCAGGCACCAGGTTTTGGTGAAAGTGGGGACATGTCAGCTGGTTGCCATGGCTAGTTATCTTTATGCATCTGTATGACTGCTGACTGGTGTGTGTTTCCTGTGACCTTTGACCTCAGACCGTACGGTTGGGCGTTCAGACGACGGCTAACTTTAATTCCATCAAGGTAAGAGGAAGCTCTTCCCTTCCTGTCTGAGCGATCCGTCTCCAGGTTTCCTTGTCCGGCGTCCAGCCCGCTGGCGTCCACCTTCATCTCACCTTCATCTCATCTCACTTCATTTATAGTGCAATACTTTCACATTATCATTTTCCCACACTTCTGTATACCTGTATTTTGTTGTTTTTCAATAAAGAATGACAAATTATTTAAGTTTGGTTTTTGTTGCACACAAATATATATCTGTAAAAAATATCTACAAAGCTAATGTTTACATAACAAGTATGATTGGGTTTTGCAATACGGCACTCAAGTTTATTTTAGTAAGATTTTCAAACCAAGTAAAGTTAGTAAAGAACACATTTCTATTGTCTGCTAAGAAACTGTTGGGATTTAAAATGGGCCTGTTGTACAAATAACTTGTAAATGATTATTCCTCACTTTTGTCTTAACCAAAGAAATTCCAGTAATTGAGCAAAAACATTTATTTTTAACACTACAGTTTATAAAACAGGGCGCAAAGTGTCGGCACATGTATGTATGTCGATGGTCCGCCCCAACCAAACCAGGAGACACAGACGTCAGGGAGGCCAAGGTTGTCTCTGCAGCTCTCTGGGCACCACGCCTCACTCAGCTGTCTCCAATGATCCAAATGGCTATGGAGGAAAAAATAACAGGTTTGGCCTAGCTGTTTAAAGTACAAAACCATTCATGAAGTGGTCAAGACAAGTACTTGGAACTTACACGCTGCGTTGTGTAGCTGACGTTGGAGACACACAGGCTGCCATGGTGACCTTTTAATAGATCTAAGAAAAAAATGTAATAAAAGAATGAAACTTAAAAACTCCCAGACCTCATGTCATATTTACTCATCAGCTATGGCTGATTTGTTTGGATCACAGTGAGTTACACTAATTCTAATATATTTTTATTTCTATTATACATACATACTTTTTAACTGTTATTTTCACATGACTGTTATCAGGCTCTCTTGTTCTGGTTCTGATGATAACTGTGTCTTCCAGTAAGTTATCTTGTGCTTACTTCATCTGTATAATGTCTCTTTACTTTTGGTAAATTGTACTGAGTCCAGAATAAAGGCTAGTTGGCTGTACAAGATACAAACAAGTATTACGTTTTGGAAATATATGAAACACCGCCAGCATCTGTTAGAGCCTGTGGCGGGGTGCTGAGGGCCGGCTCCAGCCCAGGAATGAGCTCTACACGCCGGCCAGGAGGGTTTGAAACACCGCCATCCTCTCCTCTGCTGGCTGTAAATTCTGTTATGGTTACCGGTGCTTGTGTTGCAATGTGAAACGCTTGGTCTCAGATTTTGTAAGAAAAATAATAAAATGTCCCCCCAAAATACGACTTAAATATATTTTCTCTTCTTCATGATACATTTAATGGCTGGTGCGACTCAGGAGTGATAGCGCCAAAAAAAACTACTGAAAACTTGCTCAAAGCAAAATGTTTTCATTACGGAAATAAATTATAAACTTACCGATTTAAAACTTTTTTAATACAGGTACTTCTCACGAACAGGCGCAGAAAACCTCCACCTAAACTCCGTGTAAGGTTCAGGTCGATGGGTGTTCCAGTTAGCTCCGGTTGGGTTGAAGCTAGGTGGCTACATCCGTTAGCTCGGCTCCCACCTCCGCTTTAGCTTTGGGTTAGCCAGGGTTAGCTTCAGGTTAGCTCGTAGCTAGTTCGCCTGGGTGTCGTCACTCGAGCCCAGCCTTACAGCCACACCCTCAGCGCCTCCTCTCTTCCCTTTTATGGAATTGTCTGGGCTGGACGGAACCTGTGACACGGTCAAAATGGCGGTGGTGGACACCTCCCATTATGGACAGATAACGTGTTATTGAAGCCTATGGAATCGAATTGTCCAGTATATGTACAGTCTATGATTTTAGGTCACTGCCCAGCTGAGCTTAGATTTTAACATGTACTGTTTAACCGTGAAATTTAAATGTAATAGGGTAAAACCCATTTTACACAATGCTGCATTTTAGAAAATGGGTTGAAATATAACATGTTGGTGGAGCTGGGTTCCGACTATCGGCTTGTGGAGCTCTCGGGAGACCTCTGTTTTCCACCCGGTTCTCTCCTCCCCGCAGGTTGCGGCTTCTGTGTGCCTAGTGGGCTGCCGCCTTGTGGAGCTCTGGGATGGAAACCTTTCCATCCGGTTCTCCACAGCGGCAGCTCTGCGCATCTCAGATCCCAGCGGCGCTTGTCTGCTGTGCGGCTACTGGCTTGTGGAGCTCTGGGATAGAAACCTTTCCACCCGGTTCTCCCCAGCAGCAGCTCTGCACATCTCAGACCGCAGCGGCCCTTGTCTGCTGTGCGGCTACCAGCTTGTGGAGCTCTCGGAGACCTCTGTGTTCCACCCGGTTTTACCCAGCGGTCAGCCCGGCGTATCTCTGACTCAGATGCTCTGGTGTTGTGCACAGTTAACTCCGGTTGTAGCTAGGTTGCTACCTCCGTTAGCTTAGCTCCCACCTCCGCATTAGCTTTGGGTTAGCTTCAGGTTAGCTTGTAGCTAGTTCGACCGGGTGTCCAGTTGATCCCAGCCTTACAGCCCCACCCTCAGCTCCACCTCTCTTCCCTTTTGTGGAATTGTCTGGGCTTGACGGAACCTGTGACACGGTCAAAATGGCGGTGGTGGCCACCTCCCATTTATCTTCAAAAATGTGTTATTGGAGCCTATGGAAACCCATTGTCCATATATGTATGTCGATGATTCATTTCTTACTGTGAAGTCCAGTGTCCTGAGAAATCCCCACTTCTTCTCCCTGTGGACCACATTCGGATTTATTCCTGAGAGAATAAAACCGTTTTTCATCTTTTTTCAGGGACTTTATAAACTCACCATTTCCGGTCTGCGCGCATCTGCCACATGTTTACGTCGGCCGAGTAGGCTGGGTCCTTCGAAGGATGCACACAGCGGGGATTCTCCGTTTGGGACTCCGGTTCCGACGCTCCTCCTTCCATTTTCATTTCCGGGGCAGCAGAACGAAGCGAGATCAAGTAATAACTAGCATAAACAAGTAATCACCCGTTTCTAACGTGTTTACGTTAGCACGGAAACTGCTAGCAGAAATTCTTAATTCCAAATGAAAACAAGTTTATTGGAATTTTGAAGGTCTTCCTGCTCTTTATTAGTGAATTGTGATACTCAAGCTCACAATCATGAACTATTTTAATTTAATTTTGAGTTGAATAAAGATATTGTTTATCCCATCATGAATAATCTGGGTTTTTAGCATTTAATCTATTTCAACACACAAAAAAAAACCCATCCATCATTGTTTTATGGATTAATTTGGATAAAAATGAAGCTATACATCTCACGTATAATATGAATATATTTAATTAAAACTTTATTTTAACAAAATTTACTAAAATATTCAACGACTTAATTTGCTTTTGTTGCGAAGGTCGGAAGTGGGTGTTAGCGGCTTTTGCTCTGAAGGTTGAGACCGGAAACGGTAGGATTGCTGGAGTAAAAATCCGCTACTAGCTTAACCAGCTACCAATGATTTTAGACGAGCTGTGAGCTGTAGGTAAGGTGTGCGCGTGTTTTCGAAACCTTTTTTACTCTTAAATGAAAAAAATATTTTCTCTACATCCGATCAGTGCTTGTAGAGATGCTTGTTGGTCCAACCAACATTAATTTAAGGAGCTAACGTGAGTGTGGAAACAACTTCTACAAAGTGCTTGATTTTCGAAATACTGTTGGTCTTAACTGTTGTTAGATACCGGATACTACCTGGTGCAGTTGGTTAAATAGTGGTCTAACTGGTGCTTAACCTCAGCTTAACCCACAACTTTTGATCATACGCTAACTGGCTAACTGATGTACATTAACATTTCCTTTTGGGCTTTAAAATAGCTATGTGGTTATTTGTGCTGTCAGAGACGTAGTTTGGTGAAATAAGAGGCACAGCTTCTGTTTTGTTAACCAACATCAGGTAGCCTTTAATACTAGAAAGTCCAAGTCCACCATCACCTAACGATGCTAACAAGTTGTGTAGCTTCAACAGGTAATGTTTGGCTGCAGAGTAACGGGATGCACGCAGGTGCTCTCGTTTACGTTGATTGGGTCTGTCTCAACATGTAGCACGTGAGCGACTTAAAATAACGAGCTGTGCTAGCTAGTGGGCTAACTGAGAACATTTGGACCACTTTCCATCTTCCTGTCTTCTCTTCGGTTTTGATACAGTTGAACTATTCAGGAAAAGGGACAGCTGACTGCATCCACATGTAGCATCGCTACAGTGGTAAACATACAGCTGCCATGTTTAGCCAAGTGTTTGAGACTGAGTGAGAACAGGAGACAGCCACAGAAAGCTTAGTGAAAAAGGAGGTCATTGTCACTGCAAAGTCCTAATCTCAAGGCAGCAAACACGTGACCTTGGTGTAATGCTGGCTTTCATTCCTAAATGTCACACAAATTAAACTTAACCCTAACGAAGATATAAAAGCTGCTGCTTAGTACTGCACAATATTAGATAAACCATACAAGTAAGTAATTTGTGTAGCACTTTTCACAGGATAAAAACCACAAAGTGCTTCACAACAAGAGAGATACCGCTCTAGATGATGTCTCTTCCACCATACCAGTTTATTTATCGAGCACATTTAAAAACTGCATGTGAGCTGACCAAAACGCCTCACAGGTTATAGTAATCACACAAATCCAACAATTCATTAGAACAAAGCAAGCCTTTAGCTAGATGAGAGAAGGGGAGCGGACTTCTAAAATATCACAGATGCAGCATCACCTCACAGCACAAACTTTTTAAAGTCCAAAATGTGAACAATCTTTTCTAATTCAGCTTTACACTCCAAGATTTGCAGACTGTAGATATTTCTTAGCTGAAGTAAACAAAATATGTGTTTTAATAATACATATTCTGACTGTATTTGTAACTTGAGATAAAGCTATAATTTTTACTCAAGTTTGATTTTTATTATCAAAACACTTAATTGCAGTATGGTGGATTGTTGCTTCATTTATCAAATGATCAATAAGATGTGATGCTCCATATAAATATTATGAATTATCAATCTGCTTGGTCTTTGAATTTTTTAATATAATATTAACTTAGGTTTGGACTATTCAGGGAAACACACACCATATTATTTCAGACAGTCGAGGAAATGGAATTAAATTCATTTTAATAAACTATCTTCCTAAACTAGTGATTAAACATGACAAATTATGAATGACATGATGGTTGTAGAAACAGACAATGAATTAAGTGATGGAACGTAAGTTAGGTGTTTGTAGCAAAACCTTAAGTATCTGAGATCTTGTGATGTCACGGTTCTAAAATCAGTATGACTGTATGGTTTAATAAGCTATCGATTATTCATGAAAAACCATCCGACGCCAGTGTGCAGGTATATAATACCGGTTTTGGACGGTCTCTCTCCGTGGTCAGGAGAAGAGGCAGCCAGATTGATGATGACACTCACTGGATGCAGTGGCTACTGGAATCTCAGAGTCGCAGCTCTCTTTGAATACAGATATCACCGGCCATGAGATGCTTGGGTCTGCTAGTTGGACGTTCCACGTCTGAGGAGCTGTAGTGTCTGGTACCACTCGCAAGCGTTGCAGAAAAGCTTTCACCTTGAGGTCAAAAGAGGATGGTCCCAAGTGCTTGCTCACCCGGTCGGCCTAACCGAGTAAGCTGGCTGTGAACTCGTTAGCTCATGAAGTGAACTCTATTTTATTAGCTACTCTTTACAAATTTAAACAAATCAGAATTAAAACACTTTGAATCTGAACATATTGTTTATTCAACAAAATATGATTATATAACACTTATAAAATTATATAGTCATTTATGAGCCAGGGAAAGTAGACTTTATTCAAAGAGAATAGATGAGAAGTTCTGCGTCTTGTATTTCTATTGTGTACACTGATACTGCTCTAACTATTTACTATATATAGTGCAGCCATAGTACTGAGTACACACAGCACTGTGTAAAAGTCCTGAACACACTTTCCTACCTGTTACCTTCAAGTAACAGTCCTCTTCACCTTCCAAAGTTCTGGTTTTATTTATTATTCACTTATTTATACCTTTTCACCACTTACCTACCTGTACCTGACCATTTCAGAGGGTTTGCTAAACCAAACTTCTCAACTAAATGCTTCAAGCATGAAAAACTCCAGAACTCAAAACATCATTTTCTTCACTCTCAGTGCAGCACTTGGCAAAAAGACAGTTTTATTAGTGTGTTGCTGTATTACAGTAATTATGTTACAAAAATTAGCTTGAAAATTAGAAGCGCTGTAGGATATTTAGGTAACAGAGTTTGTTTGTTTATTTATTTATTTTTAAAAGAAAACTTGCAGTTTGCTCATCTGAGGTTTTAAACATTTAAAGGATTCTGTTCATTATCTTTATGGACAGAATTTCTAGGTGCAGCCGTGGTGTGGAGTGTGTCGAGTTTGGTGGCAGGAGAATCTCGTCTCTGCTTTTTGCGGTTGATGTGGTCCTCCTAGCTTCATCCAGCTCTGACCTTCAGCTCTTGCTGGGTAGGTTCGCGGCCGAGTGGATGGCTGCTTATACTGAGCCAGGATCCTCTGGAGGTTTCTTCCTGTTAAAAAGGAGTTTTCCTCTCCACAGTCGCTACATGCTTGCTTAGTATGAAGATTGCTGTAAAGACTCTGACACTAGTCAGTGACTCGATGCAACCTGCTGGGTTCCTTATACAGGAAACTTTTTCTTGATTTGGCTTAATGAACTGTGGTCTCATTTATCAAACATTGTGCAGAATCCGTACTAAAACCGTACTTAAGCTCAGCTAAAACATGTACTTACGCCAAGTAGGTTTGTGATCCATCATACATGGAATACGCACAGCTGCACGCAATCTCCGCTTCATAAATCAGAGACTAACGAGAATGTTTCTCAGCTGCATTTTAGTCACATCCCGCCCTCACCACGCCCACTTTCTGCCATAAATAGACAATGCAAAGTGCCTTGTGGATCTCATGCATATACATAAGCCGGCTGTTGCAGCATTTCAATCACGACCGCAGGTCAAGGAAGCGCTACTTCACAAGCAGAAGTTGAGGTATCTGTGGGTGAGGTGGAGAAATGAAAGGAAGTGCTTTTGCAAAATAAATAAGAGAAAATCCACGGAGTGGCACAGCGTTGCTGAAGCCGTCAATGCTGAGTTCTTCAGAGAGATCTGTAACTGATATATAAAAAAAAAAAGGTCCAATCCGGATTTGATCCCCAGACTCCCGGGTGAAAGTCACACGCGTTAACCAGTCAGCCAAACAGAGATCCCTCCTGTACAAGTAGCCAGGGCGCATGATCAATCGGGTCACAGTGACAGGACACACACTGTCACAGACGCATGACATTCTGTCTCAACCTGTCCTCCTGCTGATATTCAGCATTCCGTATTCTGCGCTTCAGGCTGTGTGTGTGTGTGTGCAGGTGCACATGTGTGTGAGTGTGCGTGTGGGGGGTCTTGTTCTGTGTGAAAACGAAGCAGTACAAGTGATAATGCTGTAGGATTTCATCATTTTATCCTTCTCAGCAGCCAGGAAGCGTAAGCCAGGTCCTTAGTCAACTTAAAGTTGCACACATTTTTCCGCTAAGTTTTCTTTCATAATCCCAAAGTTTGCGTGGAAAGTTGCTTACGCAGTTTTCTGACCCCGTTTTGTGCGTAAGCAAGCTTGATAAATGAGACCCCTGACCTGTAATGGAGTGTTTACTGTGTGAAGGTCCTCGAGACGACTCTTGTCATGATTTATGTAAATAAACTTGAATTGAACTTGAATTAAATTTAGAGCCCAAATGACACATTTCTGTCTTTCCAACTCTGATCTGGCAACAGAAAAGTAATTCTTATAATAATTATTATTTCTATAATCATAATACTAATTAATTCTTGCCTGGACTGCAGTAGTACGCTACAGGAGATCCTACAAGCAGAAATCAAACAGTGAGATGCAAAGTGAGGTGTACAGTAGGCCAATAAATAATAAAATCAGTTGCACACTGAGCTTCTCCTGCCTTTCATGCATGGACTTTAATTCACTTGTCAGCAGCAATAATTAAGTACAAATAATGATAATTAGTTCATTTAAATGTTTGTTGTTAATTGCATCCTGCTGAGGCCATTTCCTCTCCTCTGTGTTCTGAGCAAAGACAAGACTGTAGAAGTGGGTGGGGTGTAAATTGGAATTAGACGGGCCTTTATTTTGAAAGGGCAGTCCTAATCACATCCACCCCTCTGCTGACCTCTCCTGCGGTGTTTATTTGCACCATCACCCCGCGGCCAAGTTTCTCGCTGCCGTGACTCATCTGTTGGGCTAATCTGTTGGCGGCGGGGTCGGCGGTGCCGTGTCTGGTCGGCGAGAGTGAAACTCTATCTGAGAAGGTCAGAGGTGAGACCACCACAGCTTTAAAGTGTGCAGGCTGTAAATAGCTTCTGAGCCTGGGAGCCGGGGGATCAACAGGGTGTAAATGAAAAGAGAGGGTGTGTTATAAGAGATTGTGTTTGGATGTTCTTCATCTGCTGGACCCGGTCTGTGTCCCCTGATTTTAGCTAAGCTTCAGCCGGGAGGCTTTCATGGAGGTCATCAAGAAGGAGGATGGTGGAGAAGAAAGCAGTGAGTGTCAGCCTGCAGGACAGTTAGCTAATTGTGTGTGTGTGTGTGTGTGTGTGTTAGGGTTAGATAGGTATTTTCCATCTGATGTTTTGACATTAGCTTGTAGCTTAGAACATGTAGATTTATTCTCAGAAAGTGAAGCTCTTGTCTTCAGAGACCTCTGATGTGCTTCAGCTGCTCTTATAAAGAAATCAGACCTACTTGTCTTCCCAGAATAGACTTTCTAATGTTGTTTCCAGCTTCTGTCCCTGAGAGGGAGATGACAAAGGAGGAAGCGTCCGAGCCCGTTGAAGGGGACGCCGTCCGGGGCTGCAGCACCAGACCCACGCCGCACCAGCGGGCCGTCGTCCACCAGGTGGCGTCTGCACCCATGCCCGATGACTGTGGTGAGGATCCAAACTGCCACTAAAGCTGTGATGTTCCTGGTTTCAGGACCTTATGAAATCTGTTCTAGTTCTGTTTTTACACACCAGAATGTGGTAAACGACAACAGATGCTAACATTTACTGAAGTGTTGTCTGAATGCTGGGTGTTTGGATCTTGTTGTGTTTAGTAATCGGATGGCTGCAGCAGACGTTCCACCACAGATCGATGAGATCTCAACACTTTTGTGTTTATTTTTCCTGCTTCGCTAACAAATCTCACTTTGTTCAACAACAGATAAAACTGTTGGATTTTAAAAAAATTCTGCAGAACTTTTGATTTTTGTCAAAATAAAACTAAAGCGACTCAAGACTTTTGCACAGCGTTGATCTCCTTTGGCTGTTGACTGATTTTCCAACCAGGACCCCAGGTGATCCTTCACAGCCTCTAAATCGTTCAGATTTTACTCTGGGACGTCGTTGCAGATGTCTGCTTACGTCGTCGTTCTAACAGCAGAAAGTCCTCCATCTTCAAACGTGTGAGTGATGCTTGCGGAAGGAGTTGATGCTGTTTTCGCCATAGGCTCCAGTGAGGCATGTAGATTATTTAAAAGTCCTCATTTGGTGTGAAATGAAAATCCGGCTGAGTTCTATTGTTAGCTTTGCTGCTTTGGTGGCAGCAGCCTCCGTGGGCCGTCTGTCGACACGTGGTTGCCCCCGCTGCTGCAGGACAGCGGGGGTCTTTCTTAAGGTGAACGGATTAACGGGCTGCTGCCGTGCAGAGCCTCACTCACGCGCTCTGGAACAACAAACTAACTGTGGTTGTCCCTCTCATCACCTCCAGAGTTCTCCTTCTTTGACCCCAGCGAGGCGCAGTGCAAAGAGATCCTTCAGGATCCCAACACCACCATCCCCGAGCTGTTCGCCGTCCTCAGGCAGTGGGTGCCCCAGGTTCAGAAGAACATAGACGTCATCGGCGTGGAGGTGACCCTTCCACTGCTCTGCTGCTGCAGCTCCAGGCTGCTTTAAAAGCCACCTCACAGTAAAACTCTGAATGTTTGTTTTTTGATGGATTCCCTGCCGACACGCTTACAAACTATTTCTATCTGATGCACCTGCAATGCAGTAAAAGGTGCCGAGAACCTGTCCTCTCAGGGTTTAAGTCGGCAATTATTTCCTGTCCTGGATCACCTTTGAGAATTTCCGGTGTCAGCGTCTTGTCTAAATAGAAGCGAGTGGAGTTATGTGCTTTAGTGTCACGCTCTGCTGACACCAGGTCCTCTGTGGCTCACTACACTTCCTGTGTTGAACAGATTCTGAGGAGAGGCTGCGGTGTGAACGATCGGGACGGCCTGACCGACATGACCCTGCTGCACTACTGCTGTAAGGCCGGAGCTCCGGGCATCGGTTAGTGTTTATAGTGGTGTGTGTGTGTGTATGTGTGTGTACGTACTTGTGTGTGTGTGTGTGTAACAGGCTGGCTGCCGCTGACTTTTCCTCAGGCGATGCAGAGACGGCCGCCAGATTTGCCTGCCAGCTCCTGGCCCTGGGTGCTGATCCTAACCTCCGCTCACGCTGGACCAACATGAGGGCTCTGCATTACGCCGCCTACTTTGACGTTCCCCAGCTGGTCCGATTGGTGCTGGAGGCGTCCCAGCCTGGAGGTGAGAGCGAGGGGAAGGAACGCTTCCTTTAGTGCCTCTACAGGTGGATTCTGTAGAAACACCGCCCCTCCCCACCGTTTTCCCTCCTGTTTTTGCAGAGGTTGATGCCACCTGCAGTGATTTTGACTTTGGCACGGCTCTGCACATCTCTGCCTTCAACCTGTGCTCGTCAGCTGTCAGATGTCTGCTGGAGCTCGGAGCCAACCCTGCTTTCAGAGTAAGGAAGGTTTTCTGCTCACACAGCGTCGGGCTGCTTTTCTGAGTTGGATGAAGGAAATGACTTTAGAAACCGTGTCTGGTTGCATCAGGTAGTGTGAGGTGATTAACGGCTTCTCCTGCTGCTGTTGGGATTTTGTCTCCCTGCATCTTTTATAAACGGAGGAAAGACTATTTTGTTCTGTTTTGCTCATGATTGTTTATGGTTGTGTTCAGTGTTGCATTGGTTTTACTGTGAGGCACTTAGCGACTTTTATTTGTGAAAGGTGTTGATCTCCTCGCTTGAGTCTAAATGCTAATGCTAGCCAGGCTAGTCTGGGACGCCGTTTCATCATTAGCTTCCTGTTCACTTCTTTTTGCTTTCTCGGTTTGTTGGTGAGTGACCGTGAGGTAGACGTAAAGTAAAAAAATAAATAAGTCAGTCTTTACATTTGGTTTGTCCCTTCTGGGTCGCCGTAGAAACATGATGGTTACTCCAGCCCATCGCAGGGACACATGGGCACAGGCAAAGTCTCCAGTGAACTAGGCATGCAGGGAGGGGACCTACATGCAATGACTCCATGTAGAAAGGCAGCAGCCGGGTTCAAACCTGCGACCTTCAGTGCTACGATGCGGCTCTGAGTAAGGAAACGGGTTCATCGTAAGTTCTGCTGCATGGTTTAAAGTAGTTTTGTTGTTCGCTCTGCTTCTTCAGACTCGCTGGAGTCTAATTGAGTGGTTATTTATAGGGCTGCAACAACGAATCGATAAATTCGATGAAAATCGATTACTAAAAGCGTTGGCAACGAATTGCGTCATCGATTCGTTGTGTCGCACAACTCTTCCAAAAGCGCCCCCCCCCCCCCCCCCCCCCCCCCCCTTCCCGCCCGCCGTTGCGCACAGACCAGAGCAAGTCAGATCAGCGCGAGGGAGAGCCGGCAGACTTGCGCTGCTGCGAACCGGTTCCGCATTGTTGCGCTGCGATCCAGGCTGCTGCTTCCAGCGCACGGTCCATTCTCAAAGTGGCGCAACCAAAAAACTAATTAGCACACGATCGTTCTTGTCTGCACATGTTCTCTATTTTCTGTCTTATTTGTGCCTGAAGCTCGCTACTGCGGAGCTCATCACCTGTGCTGTGGTGATTTCACCTCACGCAGCATCGAAAACGCGCTCTGCGCTTTTCGGTCAGGAGATCCCTTTGATCTGCTCAAAAGTAACTGATGAGGTGAAAAAGTAAGAATCCAGGCAACAGATTTTCTGGAGAATTAAGAGGAGATGCAGGAAGATGAGAGACAGACAGGACAGGAAAATAGTTAAATAAAAACAAGAAAACAAAGTAAAATGTAGGTAGATTTATCTCCACTACACGTTTTTACCAGTAAAAAACAATAAGTTATACACGTCATATTTATACATCTGATACAATTCAGATCACCTTCAAAACTCAGTCACACACCCAGGGCCGTTTCAAGACATTTTGGGGGCCAAGGCAAAATGCCCCCCCCCCCCCCATAACTGGGCTCCCCAGAAGCCTCTGTGTAATTCATACCCTCTCCAGTAGTGTTAGTTATATGGTGTTTGTAAAATCCCCTCAGACATTACTGACATGTTCTAATATTATCAGATGAAAAACTAAATTATCAGACACGCTGTCTCATCTGCTTCTTTTATAAACCTGCTAAAAGTAACAAAACCATTTGAAAGCCACTATTTGTGGATTCTCTGAAAGTTTCCATGGAGTTTGTGACAACTTATTTTTTCATTGATCCTATCGTCTAATCTCACAGCTGAAACAAGCATCCTTAATCATCTGTGCACAGGAAGCTTACCGATGCTGTAGTAAAACAAAAGGTATAATTTATTATTAATAAAACCTTGTTGCAGCACTAAAGCATAAAAATGAGATTTTGCATCAAATATGCAAAATATTTACATATGAATTGTTTTGGAGCCCTTTTATTGGCAGAATCTGATATTAATTTAGTTCTTACAAAAAATGGGTCCCAACATGGTTTGTGTGGCGTTGCCATAGAGTGACGTCATAGGCACAGATTCCCTGTCCTCTTGTTTGGAAATGGAAATATGATCACCCTATATTAAACAAACTGTCCACCCGGGCTTTTGCGCTGCACAGAGACGCTTCGCTGCCTATGACTTCGAATGTCAGTTGAGAGTCAGTCTCATGCAGACTGACCAATGAAGAGAGGGCCTCAAGTTAAGACCCTCTCCTCATTGGTCAGTCCACACGAGGTGGGTCAAAGGTTACTCTGGGCGGGTTACGTGTTGTCAGGCATTCAAGTATTGAGTATATTTACTGCATATCACAGTAAAATATTCTGTATGTGACCACATTATGGTGATCCTTGGGTCGTGATGATGGAGCCCTTGAATATTGTTGCCCAGGGTACAACAAAGTGTTAATCTGGCCCTGGTTCCGCCGTCACATTCCCGCAGAAACTGGTTGATCACACCGGGGCCAGACTACTAGCATGTGGTTTTACAACCACAATGTCCTCGGAAGCAAAAACGCTTTTAAAAGGGAGGGAGGAGTCCTAACTGTTGCTGCAGGCGTGTTGTGTGAGAGTGCAGTTATATACTGGTTAATATATTTTTGGGTTCAGTTGCTTTCATGTGGCCTAATGTGAGTCTATTTGGGATCATTGGAATGATCAGCAACATTTCTTGATGTGACTTTATGGCAGTTGCCCAGGGCATCATCGCAAGGAGGATGGCATTCATTTACTTTTGTTTTATTTGGTATTTTTTCAGTCATTTTTGGAAATGGTGATCAATTTTGATTAATTCACAGCCAATGTTTAACTACATTTAAAATAAATGTCAACAGATGAGATCAAACAAAACAGATGAGAATTGCCCTTAAGCTGTTTAACTTGGACCAAGCATTTTAGGTCACAGATAGATGTAGCTTAGGGTCTCTGTCTATAAACCTTATAAGACAATTTAGGTGATGGCATGTTGTTTTTCTGCTATTGAACTGTTTTCTAATAATGTTGTGTTAAATAAAGTGAAGGAAGGAGAGAAATAACGTTTCCCTAGCAGTTTTTAAAAATTTCCCCATGCAATCCGATTAATCGATTAATCGTGTCGAGACCCCGTCCGATTAATCGATTATCCAAATAATCGTTTGTTGCAGCCCTAGTTATTTATTCCTGTCACTCGTCTCCTTTAACAGCGAGACGAGAAACGAGGCCTAATCACCTGTGCTCAGGTGCAGCTGCCGTCTTTGTTAGGGGTGACATCTGCTGCTCTAATTCTTACCACACGTTCTGGTTTTAGTCATGTGACTTGTTCAAGAAATCCCAAATGGATTAAAAACAAATCTAGGTCTTATGTAGAACAAAGACTAGATGTAAAGATCTGAGTTTGTTGTTTGAGACGGGATTAAAACAATCCTTGAATATTTCGGCTGCTTCTAAGCAAGTTAAGTCTGTTTTGGATCAGAAATCATATTTCTCAGGTTTTTAAATAAAAACCTGAATGTCCCAGTAGTTTGTAAAATGATTTTCATCTTTTCCTTTTTGTCTAAAGTAGAATGTGACGCGTTTTAGTGGGTTTGATATTTAAAAGTTGTTTTTTCTTTGCTCTGATCTCCCACTGGAGGTCCCCATCGCTCCACTCATCAGAACTAAATCATCCCAGGAGCTCCGGGTGCCCTTTTCTTTCTTTAATTTACTTTGTGAGCTCAAAACTCACACAGTCACCGGCGCGTCGTTCAAGTTTGAGGTCTTCTGACTGTAATGAGAAATCATCCAAACCCAGTTTTTTAGGTGTGATCCAGCTTCTGTTTGAGTCTTTGTCCATCCTCAGTCATGGAAGTGGTAAATAATGAACATCTGCAGCTGAATTTTCTACTCTTAAGTAGAACGATCATTTGGATAATCGATGAATCGGATGGGGTCTCGACACGATTAATCGATTAATCGGATTACATGGGGACATTTTTAAAAACTGCTAGGGAAACTTTTTTCTCTCCTTCCTTCACTGTTAAAAACAACGTTATTAGAAAACAGTTCAATAGCAGAAAAACAACATGCTATCACCTAAAATGCCTTACAGCTTCAGATAAGTTGCATTGCAGGTTTGGAAGAGTTGCGCGACACAACAAATCGATGACGCAATTCGTTGCCAACACTTTTAATAATCAATTTTTATCGATTTTATCTATTCGTTGTTGCAGCCCTACTCTTAAGTCTCCTGAACTTGATGCTCCTCTTTTGGATATTTATTCTAAATGAGAGCTGATGTTCCTGGAAACGGGATCTGCAGCATTCCTGCTCCTCGCCGGCTAACGGCGGCCGTTCGCTGTGCGTTTGAGCGACTCCTCACTGAAAACCAGAGTTTCTTCTTCAAGGTCGTTCCTGGAAGTGGCTTAATGGAATATTTCTGTCCTCTGACCCCGCAGAGAATCATCAGAGCAAATCTTAAAAAAATGCAGAATTTTTTTGTTCCTTTAGATCAAAGAAATTTAAACGTTTCTGGTCTTTAGAGTTTATCTTGTGAAATTTGAACTAGTGAATTTTATTTCTATGTTTGTTGAAATATTTGAGTCGATGACATTGACGTCTGACTAAAACAAAAGACACACACTCGCGTCTCAAAGGCAGCAGATTTTTTCTCTCAGGAATAAATAAAATGTTAGACATCACGAATCGATCACTGAGTTTTTATCAGTTTTCTACCTGTTTTTATTCAGGTTGTTGGGAATTTTCTGATTGTTGCGTTTGGAAAAATGCTTCTGGACACAAATCACAGATTAAAGGAAACAACTGGATCAGGAATTCCCATCGCAGGTTTTCTACTAATTCCACAGAAACATTAGTTTTCCTCGAGTGGGAAGCAACACGCATGTCTGCAGAAAAGGCTTTTTCCTCGCTCGTACTGCTCCTTTAGTTCACACGGAGATCCACTTCTTAAAATGCTCTTTTGTATAGAAAGTCCTGAAGATGCTTTAGTTTCATCCTTTAGAAGGACAGGAGGATCGGTTCGGCGTCTGCAGTGATGCGGACGCTGAGCCGATCTGTCGTGGTGAAGAGGGAGCTGAGCCAGAAAGCCAGGCTCTCGATTTACCGGTCGATCTACGTCCCAATCCTCACCTATGGTCATGAGCTTTGGGTAATGACCGAAAGAACGAGATCGCGGATACAAGCGGCCGAAATGAGTTTCCTCCGTAGGGTGGCCGGGCTCAGCCTTAGAGATAGGGTGAGGAGCTCGGACATTCGGGAGGGACTCGGAGTAGAACCGCTGCTCCTCCGGATCGAAAGGAGTCAGTTGAGGTGGTTTGGGCATCTGGTCAGGATGCCTCCTGGACGCCTCCCTGGGGAGGTGTTTCGGGCATGTCCTGCCGGCAGGAGGCCCCCGGGTCGACCCAGGACACGTTGGAGAGGTTACATCTCCAATCTGGTCCGGGAACGCCTTGGGGTCCTGCCGGAGGAGCTGGTGGAGGTGGCCGGGGAGAGGACGGTCTGGAGCTCCCTAGTTGGGATGCTGCCCCTGCGACCCGGACCCGGATAAGCGGAGGAAGAGGACAATGACGAGAAGAAGTCTAGAAAATGTGGAGAAAACATAAAAAAGTTTAAAATAAGCCTGTTTTTGTTAACTTGTTAAACCATAACTGAGTTTTTCTTTAGTTTGTTTATAAACTGTAGTGGATATAATTCTGCGTAAAGCCGCCTCTTGGCTTGAAACAACTCTTCAGGCTGGTTGTTGACACCTCCTGAACATCATCATTTAACAGTCGAACGCGCAGCGGGGCTGCTGTGTGGGTGAGGAAGCTGACTGGGTCAGAGCTTAAGGAAGGTCTCGCTGGGAGGTCCTGATTAGGATTTAAACTCAGATTAAAACACAACCAACAGAAATGTGGCTGAAGGTTTTAAAAGGGTGAAAATGTAGAAGTGTGGAAGATTTCTGTGCTCTCGTCAGTGATACACCTACACACACACGCTGCAGCAGACTGTGAGGAGCAACGTTAACTGTGTGTGTGTGTGTGTGTGTGTGTGTGTGTGTGTGTGTGTGTGTGTGTGAGAGAGACTCCAGATGAGCTGCTCTCGCCCGTCACACCTCCACATCAATCCTCCTCCTAATTCTCAGTTCTTAGACGTTGGTGTCTTCTGGATCAGGTTCCCGTGTGTTCCTGCTGATCAGCTTCTGAAAAACACGCTTCTTGGTTCTGAGAGCAGAAATAACTTTTAGAAGAGGAAGATCTTGTCGTCTTGATGAACTTGTGGTTCAGTAGGATGGTGTTGAGGTTCAACAATCTACTCCTCTTTGGCTCAGATGTTCATTATAGATATGCCCTATAAGTTCTGGGTTGGGCCTCCTTTTCCCTTCAGAACCACCTTAATTCTCGGTGTCGTGGATCCAAGAAGGTGTCCTTCTGAAGTTCTGGTCCATCATTAGAAGTTCCCGTTCCACCACATCTCAGAGGTTCTGGACTGGACTGAGATCTGGTGACTGTGGACGTCGTTGGAGTCACATTCTAGAAACCAGTTAGAGATGCGTGATCCTGCTGGAAGCAGCATCATAAGATGGGTCCATAAAAGGATGGACATGGCTGGCAACAAGACTCAGGTGAGCTGTGGTGTTTAAACCAGGCTCAGGTGGGACTGAGGGGCCTGAGGTGGGACCAGAACATCTTCTGGTCCAGGTCGGGTGATCCTGTGGGAATTATAGCTTCAGTTTCCTGACAGGAGAGACACCTGGTCTTCTGCTGCTGGAGTCCATCTGGAGCAGCTGGTAAGCTTCTGCAGGCCTTGGTAGGAACCGGTCTGACCAATCTCTGTAGATGCTAGAGAATGGTTGTAGGTTCAAATCCCAGTAGACCAGACCAGGCTGTCTGGTACCAGTGAACATGCCACTATCCTTTTTTCTCCGTTCTGATGCTCCGTTTGAATTTCAGCAGGTTGTCTAGATTAATAAATGCTGCCCTCTGATTGGCTGATTAGATATCTTGTTAGAAGTTTATCTTAGCGCTCCAGGTTTTAGGTTTGAGGTTCAGTTCTTCAGATCTGAGCCTCAACATTCAGGCTGAGAAGTTTTCTCTGGAGTTCCTAAATACATTTTCATCCACAGCTAATTTGATAACAAGCACGTGTTAAGTCTGTCAGCTCATGGGAAAGAATATGTTAGCCATCAGCCCGAACACGAATAATATAAATGGAAATAAAGCAGAGTGTAAAAATTAAGATTGGAGAGCTGGAGGCGTCTCCGCTGAGGATCCCAACTCTCCACCTGAATTAATGGAGCTAAAACAACTGAATTTATTCAACTGAACCCACCAAATTTGTATGGAGAGTCATAAATACACATCATAGTTAAGAAAATACTCTAACTGGCTTATTTTAAAACTGGTTACTGGTGAACGTGCACTGGTGAAGTGGGGAAACTCGTCTGCTTGTATTTTCTCGCCCCCACGCTGCTTTCATCTGAACAAACCAAATAAATTTATACATCATCATCAATCCTGGACAGTTTTAATGAGCCACGGTGCACGTTCTCAAATCCCAGGAAGGTACTTTTCTGCACAAAGTAAAGCAGCAAAAAACCAAACGAGATAATTCAGTTTTCCTGCTTTTGGCGCCTCAGGGCCAGCGAGGCGCCACCATCACTCCTTACACTAATGGAAAGTACCTGAGAAGGAAATTCAGTTTGTTATAAGATGCTAAGAGTTTCAGCCTTAAAGGTGCAGTAGGAGATGTATTTCTGGAGCTTGTTCTTTGCCATTTTGCTTGAATTGCGTATCGCACACTGATGGAAACCAATACATTACATTTACTGGTCAAAAATGAGTAGATCACCTCTGAAATGTACAATCCTGTTAAAACATCATCATCGTTGTGAACGTCTCATTCTAAATGTTTGGATCACGATCCATCCATCAGTCTGCCCAAGAATAAACAAAGGAAGCTAAAAACGGTGAACTGAACCCTCGGGAACGGGAACGGCTCACTCCTGCGTTCCGGGGGCGTGGCTTGAGTGGAGAAGCCTGAAGAAAGACGGTTTGACCTTTTAATGAAGTAGCTCACACCAACAGCTTTTCATTTAATGTTCTCACTGAACAAAACTTAAAGGGACATTATGGAAGTTTGACAGCCAAAACATGTATAGAAATAATAAATGTCTTCTTCATACGTTCTCCTGCAATGCCCTGGTCCTGTAGAATGAGCCCTGGCATTTTTACTGGGATTGCCTGTTTTTCTGTAAAATCACAGAAAAAGAGAGATGCTCTGGTCGAGCAGGCTGCTTCATGCGCGTTCACGCTCAGGCATCGCCCGTAGCATTTGCTATCCGTAGCTTTAGCAGCAGAGAGAGAGGCAGTGCCACTTTGTCGCTGTTCCTAACGCCTAGTGACAAAGCTAGCTACATTTCTGAGGACCCTTAGCTACTTTCTGTAGAACTTTCTTCTAGATATTTCTTGCAAATTAGCAACAAAATAGCCATTTTCACTCCGAACTGTTCTTTGGTTTGACGTTGTTTCAGCTGTCATCAAGGATATAAATGTTACAGATACTGTAAATGTTACTAGAGTGTAGCTCACCTTGTAAGACGTCAGACTCCCATGCAGAAGACCTGGGTTTGATTCTGGATGTGAACATAGTTTATTTAGAGTTTCTTTTTTACATTAATGATATATTTTTTTACAGTAAGATGCCCAAATTTTTATTTGAGACTCGCCGAACGGCATTGAATTCACAGATAAAAAAGATGTGGGTTCAACTTTCATTTTGGAACAACTTTTCAAGCAAGGGAAGGGAATGATCTGAGCATGCAGGAGGACTGACCCATCATGAACCTTTGTCGGCTGTGCTGAAGAGAAAGGTACAGAACCACATTATTTAATTAATTAGCTGCTCGTTCTCCTGTCCTCTGTCCTCCGGGACACACGCACGCACGCACGCGCACGCACGCACGCACGCACACACACACACACACGACTGTCGACTGTCTCAGCTGTTATTTTCGTTAAGGAGTGTGCACGTACAGCATGCACGAGCCTACTATTGAAGCTGCCGTTACACTTTTGGCCTGAGGGGGCAATCACGAGCATAAAAATTCAAAACTCCATAAAGTCCCTTTAAGCGGAGAGTTTAGGCTAGACTTTTCACTCCTAAAAGCAGCTTTTCTTTTGCGTTGGTTCAGGACCAGCAGCTGCCCGATGTTGACCTCGTTAATGTTTACTTAGCTTTTCAGGTTGGACTCCTGCTGACTTTTAACTTTATTTTTAGCCGTTTTAAAACATCTGGTTGACTGAGAGACTTGGGTGGATTCCCTGAGTTTTCTGTGGGGGAGAAAGCTCTGGCACTCCTGTTTCAGGAAGTAGAAGTTTGTCAGAGGAGAGTGGAAAACGGTGGGTCTTGCTCATTAATATACATATGAAAACGTCTTGCCGCTGATTGGCTAACAGCAAAGCGACTCTTTCGCTGCCTCTGATGTCAAGCAGCTTCCACTCCCTCCTTCCTGTGGGTGGTCCCAAGTAGAGGTGGGTGGAGCCATTAATACTAAATTTCCTTTAGCATGCAAGTGAGACTTGGACTGACCAATGATTACGCGGTTTCCATGGGAACGAGACCTTTAACCATCATTATGTCTTAATGTGTTTGCTGTGTAATCTGATTTTATGTGGAATTGGACCTCCAACTCCTCCCAACGCTGCCTTGACCTTTAGAAACCAACCTGATTATTTTGGGGTAAAGTTTTGTTTTCCTTTAGGCGACTCCCGGGAGAACTTTGAGAGCTTTTTTAAATTTGTCGAGACGCTTGGAAACTCCCTCATGATGCTAATCTCCCCTCCGGAATGAAACTATTTTAGTTAAATCACAATCATCGTTCGCTCATGCCTGTTCCACCCTCCTGCTCCTGACAGAATGAAAAAGGACAAACTCCCGCAGACGTGGTTCCCGACCCCTTGGACATGCCGTTGGATATGGCGGATGCGGCCGCCGTGGCCAAAGAGCTGCGGGTTTTACTGAGGCGGGCTTTAGGACCTGGCTCGTCGCCACCCCTCACGCTGCAAGGCCAGCCCCTTCCGGCGCTGTCGGAGAAGGCCAGGACTCAGCTATCCTCCATGGGGGTCCGACTGGGGGATCGTGTGATGATAGCCGGGCAGAAGGTGAGTGATATGTTGATGCTCGCTTAAGAGAAGTAATCTCCACTTCTCCTCCAGAGACAGCAGCTTTGCTCTTGTCTAAAGCCGAGGCACGTGGTTTCTCCCACCGCATTTTAAAACTTTCCTTTTGTCTCCCCTCACTAACAAAACTAATTAGGACTTAATGATCAACAAAACTCAGGAGAATCTGTTTTCTCAGAACTTCTCCATACATGTTCAGATTTCACGTCTATTTTAAGCTACTGCAAACAAGCTGCTCATCTTCGTCGCCGTGAGTCATCTTCTCCTGTCCCACCTGTCTTTGATCTGTGGTACGAGCCACAGCCGGCGGTGTCACCGGAGCCGTTGTTCACACTTATCTCCTCTGCTCATTACACATGTTTAGTGACACACTCATGCTATCATCACACTCCAGCAGTCCAAAAGCATTAAAGATGCGTCACAGTGTAATTGCAGCTTATTTTTTACAATAACAAGCTGTTTACTGTCTCAGCTGCCAGGTACCGTCACATCTGTAGCACCAAACAAACGCTTAGCCTTCATATAGGTTAAAACATTTTATTTTAGTCCGTTTCTTTTGGGGTTTTGTGACCAAACTTGCTTCAGTGTGATGGTTTAAAGCACGTTTAATCCTTTTGACAAGGACTGTTCAGAGAAGGAGGTTTTTCTTTACCCTGTGGGGAGAAAAATGGATGTTTTTTACCTTATAAAGCGTTTGGTGTTTGTTTTGTGAGCAGCTCCTGCATCAGTAAACACACGCAATGAAATACTTAAAATTCCACCTTAGAGAACAGAATAACTGTTTTGTAACATTTTTTTATTTTTAAGCATTAAGGCAAGGCTCCAGGGGTGGATCTATCTGCCCGGAGTCCCTTAAGGCTCTGGATGTTGTGGGGCTGTGTTGGCTGACGTGGCTCTGCTGTATCGCGTGGACATCAAGGGCAGTCCCACTGGACTGGCAGACCGGGGTGGTGGTCCCCTTATTTAAAAAGGGGGACCGCAGGGTGTGTTCCAACTACAGGGGGATCACACTCCTGAGCCTTCCTGGTAAGGTCTATTCAGGGGTTCTGGAGAGGAGGGTCCGTCGAATTGTTGAACCTCAGATTCAGGAGGAGCAATGTGGTTTTCGTCCTGGCCGTGGAACACTGGACCAGCTCTATACCCTTAGGGGGATCCTGGAGGGCGCGTGGGCATTTGCCCAACCAGTCTACTTGTGTTTTGTGGATTTGGAGAAGGCGTTTTCCGCGTCCCTCGGGGGGCCCAAGGCTGACCTTTGTCACCGGTTCTGTTCATAACCTTTATGGACAGGATTTCTAGGTGCAGCCAAGGTGTGGAGTAGGGCTGCAACAAACGATTATTTGGATAATCGATTAATCGGATGGGGTCTCGACACGATTAATCGGATTACATGGGGAAATTTTTAAAAACTGCTTGGGAAACGTTATTTCTCTCCTTCCTTCACTTTATTTAACACAACATTATTAGAAAACAGTTCAATAGCAGAAAAACAACATGCCATCAACTAAATTGTCTTATAAGGTGTATAGACAGAGACCCTAAGCTACATCTATCTGTGACCTAAAATGCTTGGTCCAAGTTAAACAGCTTAAGGGCAATTCTCATCTGTTTTGTTTGATCTCATCTGTTGACATTTATTTTAAATGTAATTAAACATAGGCTGTGAATTAATCAAAATTGATCACTATTTCCAAAAATGACTGAAAAAATACCAAATAAAACAAAAGTAAATGAATGCCATCCTCCTTGCGATGATGCCCTGGGCAACTGCCATAAAGTCACATCAAGAAATGCTGCTGATCATTCCAATGATCCCAAATAGACTCGCATTAGGCCACATGAAAGCAACTGAACCCAAAAATATATTAACCAGTATATAACTGCACTCTCACACAACACGCCTGCAGCAACAGTTAGGACTCCTCCCTCCCTTTTAAAAGCGTTTTTGCTTCTGAGGACATTGTGGTCGTAAAACCACATGCTAGTAGTCTGGCCCCGGTGTGATCAACCAGTTTCTGCGGGAATGTGACGGCGGAACCAGGGCCAGATTAACACTTTGTTGTACCCTGGGCAACAATATTCAAGGGCTCCATCATCACAACCCAAGGATCACCATAATGTGGTCACATACAGAATATTTTACTGTAATATGCAGTAAATATACTCAATACTTGAATGCCTGACAACACGTAACCCACCCAGAGTAACCTTTGACCCACCTCGTGTGGACTGACCAATGAGGAGAGGGTCTTAACTTGAGGCCTTCTCTTCATTGGTCAGTCTGCATGAGACTGACTCTCAACTGACGTAGGCAGCGAAGCGTCTCTGTGCAGCGCAAAAGCCCGGGTGGACAGTTTGTTTAATTTTGGGTGATCATATTTCCATTTCCAAACAAGAGGACAGGGGATCTGTGCCTATGACGTCACTCTATGGCAACGCCACACAAACCATGTTGGGACCCATTTTTTGTAAGAACTAAATTAATATCAGATTCTGCCAATTAAAGGGCTCTAAAACAATTCATATGTAAATATTTTGCATATTTAATGCAAAATCTAATTTTTCTGCTTTAGTGCTGCAACAAGGTTTTATTAATAATAAATTATTATACCTTTTGTTTTACTACAGCATCGGTAAGCTTCCTGTGCACAGATGATTAAGGATGCTTGTTTCAGCTGTGAGATTAGACGATAGGATCAATGAAAAAATAAGTTGTCACACACTCCATGGAAACTTTCAGAGAATCCACAAATAGTGGCTTTCAAATGGTTTTGTTACTTTTTGCAAGTTTATAAAATAAGCAGATGAGACAGCATGTCTGATAATTTAGTTTTTCATCTGATAATATTAGAACATGTCAGTAATGTCTGAGGGGCTTTTATAAACACTGTATAACTAACACTACTGGAGAGGGCATGAATTACACAGAGGCTTCTGGGGAGCCCAGTTATTCGGGGGTGGATGGTGTGGGGGGCGGGGGGGTGGGGGTATGGCATTTTGCCTTGGCCCCCAAAATGTCTTGAAACAGCCCTGGGTGTGTGACTGAGTTTTGAAGGTGATCTGAATTGTATCAGATGTATAAATATTACATGTGTATAACTTGTTTTTTACTGGTAAAAACGTGTAGTGGAGATAACTCTACCTACATTTGACTTTTCAACACTTTGTTTTGTTTTCTTGTTTTTATTGAACTATTTTCCTGTCCTGTCTGTCTCTCATCTTCCTGCATCTCCTCTTAATTCTCCAGAAAATCTGTTGCCTGGATTCTTACCTTTTCACCTCATCAGTTACTTTTGAGCAGATCAAAGGGATCTCCTGACCGAAAAGCGCAGAGCGCGTTTTCGATGCTGCGTGAGGTGACATCACCACAGCACAGGTGATGAGCTCCGCAGCAGAGCGCTTCAGGCACAAATAAGACAGAAAATAGAGAACATGTGCGGACATGAACGATCGTGTGCTAATTATAGTTTTTTGGTTGCGCCACTTTGAGAATGGACCGTGCGCGGGAAGCAGCAGCCTGGATCGCAGCGCAACAATGCGGAACCGGTTCGCAGCAGCGCAAGTCTCCCGGCTCTCCCTCGCGCTGATCTGCGGCTCTCCCTCGCGCTGATCTGCCGGCTCTCCCTCGCGCTGATCTGCGGCTCTCCCTCGCGCTGATCTGCCGGCTCTCCCTCGCGCTGATCTGCCGGCTCTCCCTCGCGCTGATCTGCCGGCTCTCCCTCGCGCTGATCTGCGGCTCTCCCTCGCGCTGATCTGCGGCTCTCCCTCGCGCTGATCTGCCGGCTCTCCCTCGCGCTGATCTGCGTCTCTCCCTCGCGCTGATCTGCGGCTCTCCCTCGCGCTGATCTGCCGGCTCTCCCTCGCGCTGATCTGACTTGCTCTGGTCTGCGCGCAACGGCGGGCGGGAAGGGGGGGGGGCTTTTGGAAAAGTTGTGCGACACAACGAATCGATGACGCAATTCGTTGCCAACGCTTTTAGTAATCGATTTTCATCGAATTTATCGATTCGTTGTTGCAGCCCTAGTGTGGAGGTCATCTGTTTTGGTGGCCTAAGGATCAGGTCTCTGCTTTTTGCAGATGATGTGGTCCTGTTGGCTTCATCAGAACGTGATCTTCAGCTTTTGCTGGAGCGGTTCGCAGCCGAGTGTGAAGCAGCTGGGATGAGAATCAGCTCCTCTAAATCTGAGACCTTGGTCTTGATTCGGAAAAGGGTTGTATACCTTCTCCGGGTCAGGGATGAGGTCCTGCCCCAAGTGGAGGAGTTTAAGTATCTCGGTGTCTTGTTCACGAGTGAGGGAAAACTGGAGCGTGAGATCGATAGGTGGATTGGTGCTGCGTCTGCAGTGATGCGGGCGTCGTACCGGTCTGTCGTGGTGAAGAGAGAGTTGAGTCAGAAGGCGAAGCTCTCGATTTACATTCCTACCCTCACCTATGGTCATGAGCTTTGGGTAGTGACCGAAAGAATGAGATTGCGGATACAAGCGACCAAAATGAGTTTTCTCTGAAGAGTGGCTGGGCTCTGCCTTAGAGATAGGGTGAGAAGCTCGGTCATCCAGGAGGGGCTTGGAGTAGACCCGCTGCTTCTCCACATCAAGAGGAGCCAGTTGAGGTGGCTCAGGCATCTGGTCAGGATGCCTCCCTGGTGAGGTTTTCCGGGCACGTCCAACCTGGAGGAGGCCTAAAGGTAGACCCAGGACACGGTGGAGGGACTATGTCTGTCACCTGGCCAGGGAACGCCTTGGGATTCCCCCGGAGGAGCTGGTCCACGTGGCTGGGGAGAGGGAAGTCTGGGCTTCTCGACTTAGGCTATTGCCCCCGCGACCCGACTCCGGATAAGTGGATGAAAATGGATGGATGGAAATCAAGGTTAATAAGTGACCAAATACATTTATTTTCTGTCCAAAAACTGTGTTTACAAGAATAAATAAGAAAAATGATAATAAACATTGTTTAACCTAACCCTAACCCGTTAGCTTTAATTGGCTACAAGTTAGACTCAAACTCAAAAAATTTTGTTTATGCAGCATTATTTTATAAAATCTTCACTTCCTGCTGGACCCAGCATCCAGAGGTCAGCGTTAAAGTTAGAATATGGAATATATTCATCCCAGCTCTAAAGCCGATCTTCATCCGTGTACGTCACATGTCACGTGATCAGCACGCTGAAAATCCATGTGTTAGGAGATCGTTTTGGGCCGCTGCTGTAAAAGATGTGAGGCGCGAACCGGAAAAGCTTCTGCCGATCACAATTCAACAACAAATTACGCTCAAAACATGCAGATTCTTCCTGATGTTAGAGGTGAGTCTACGCTTTGTTTTGGTGGTTTTGGCATTGACATCGTCCTAGTGTGCAACGTTGTGTAACTCTTTAAAAAACATTTAAAACGCTGGCAGTGAATGAGTTAAAACTATTAAAAAGATAAATAATCAGATTTTTATTCTGTTCCATATTCGACCTTTAAGGTCACATTTTGCTGCAGCTGCTCATAAAGATAACCAGAGAAGTTCATGTACATTGGCACGTGTGGTTTTATAAAGAGCATGAACTGCAACCCACTAGCCGTTAGCTCATCAATCGCTCCGTCCCGCAGCGCTCCTCCGTGAGAGCGGGGGTGGGGGTTGCACACGTTCCGCTGATGTTTCTCGCCAGTATCAGTTTTATGGATTTGGTTAAGGCGTTTGACCGTGTCCCTCGGGGGACGGCTCTGGTTTCGTTGCGCCGTTCGTGTCAGCGGACACGGTAGGGTCGGGGAGGGGGGCGGGGCATGACGCTTAGCCTGGCGGGTGGCCAAGCAAAGCCTGGTTGGCCGCCAGGCTTATAAAGCACTGGGGGAAACCCTGAATGAATGAATGAAGCAACAAATGTTGGTATGAAAATAGATTTTCTCTGCTCGTGTTGTTTGTAGAAAGAGACGCTGCTATTTTCTACTTCTTTATTTGTGATTTAAAAATAAGTAAAATTAAGTAACTTTTAACTTTTAGTTACTCAACATGCCCTCTTTTACAACCCAAAACACAAAAGCCTGACCCGTGTAACAACTTTTTTATTTGATAAAATCGATCTGAAGATTTTAGAATAACACAAGAACTTAAAAACGACGGGATAACTTTGTATGAATCTGGGTTTATTTCCTGTTTTTAAAGGATTTTCACTTTTCTTTCTGTGAAAGAAATAAAAGAACACCCCCACTAACTGCTGCTGTTTTCACGTAATTGTAGAAATTGAAATCCTCCGATCGTCGCCCAGCCAGACGTCTTCTCTGAAAGTTCTCCGCCTGGTCAGACCTGCTAATTGAGTCTCGTTATCTCCGCTCCTCTTCCTCCGTCTCCTGCTTCCAGCTCCATTTTCCTTTTTGTCTTCTCCTAACGGACGAAGCCAGATGATTTGTTTCTGATTGTTCTTCTCTCTGATACCTGCGCGCCATCTCGCCATGTTCTGTTTACTAATCTTCACTTCCTGTGACGTTTGCAGATCGGAACGCTGAGATTCTGCGGCAGCACGGAGTTTTCCGGAGGCCTCTGGGCCGGAGTGGAGCTGGACAAACCGGAGGGGAAGAACGACGGCTCAGTGGCGGGCGTTCAGTACTTCACCTGTCCACTCAAACATGGTGGGTCCCATCATGCCGTGGTGCTTAAACACCGCGGCATAGAAGCAGAGTTTTAATTTGTAACTGTTTTTATAGGAATTTTTGCTCCCGTGTCCAAGATAAGTAAACCTTTGGAAAAACACAAACCGAGAAGCACGAAGACTCCTCTTCGGCCTACTCGCCGCGCTGATCTGTCCCGCGTGACCTCCAGGATCAACACCGGTAAGGAAGCAGCCTCACTGGTCCATCAGGAAACGGTTCATATTTGTTCAAGGTTGTAAAAAGTGGAAGGCCATCTTGGGAAGAGAACGGTTTGTTGTTGGGACCTCTGGCTGGCTCTGCTCGGTTCATCAAACATCACAAAGGTGGAAAATCGGCCTCCCCGAGGAGCTCCGCCTCCACGTTCCTCATAAAAAGCACCGTGTCTCAACCCCAACCAGCAGACCCCGAGGAGTAAAGGATCTGTGAATATTTGAGGGGAGAAGAAAAGGGGGCAGGTGCTTTAAGTCACAGGAAATCTCGTGTAATTCCCCAGAGACGATGTTGGACCACAGTGTGAGGGGAAAAGGAACCAAACATTTCAGAATAAGAGCTGAAAAAAGCTGCTTAGCAGTGAAATCGTCTCCCTGAGGGGTTCGTGGTGTAAACAGGGTCTCATTAGAGACTGAGGCCTGTGAAGAGTTTAGACTCTTGTTACAAGAAAGGAGACGCTACTGATGGTTTTGGCTTCAAATGCGTTTCTGAAACATCTGGGTCAGAAAAGTTTTATTTTTTATTCATGAATCCAAACATCATTTCTCACGTCTGCAAACAAATTCATTTTTATAAATGTATTCACACACGTTTGCACCTCGTCAGCCAAACTCCTGGATGGAACTCTTATCCAGGTGTTTTACCTGCAACTTCAGTCCAATTCAAGATGGCCGCCACAGCTAACTGACCTCAACCAAGACAAAAAACAACCAGAACGGCTTCAAATGTGTAGATGTTGAGCTCTAACTTCAGGTGACGATAGCGGAGAGTCACTCAAAACACAAACAGCTGACCTGAGATCTGTTTGTAAGTTTATTTTTTGACCAACGTTACCAATTTGCCAAAATAAATGTTATAGTTTAAAATACATAAATAATAAAAATACTCAATGAATGACTCAGTTTTGTTGCACGAGAACTTTTCTACCAAACCCTTAATAAGCCATCTTTGAATGAACTGCAAGGAAATGCCACTTTCACAATAAGAGCATCTGAGCAAACATATTTTTATGGTGAATAATGTAAACTTAACTTTAATCACCGGTGAAACTGAAGGAGAAAGACACACATCTGTGCAAAAAAAGGTGATTTCTGCAATTAAACTAGTGATTTTATTGTTTAATCAAATTAAAGGAGTTTCGTTACAGTAGATGAAGTTAACGGGATGGCTTGTTTCTGGGAACTACCTTCATGAGACGGCGAGAGAAAATCTCAAAATCCTGTTTTCTGAAGAAGAAAATATCTTTTCTACAGCGCCTCAAGATAAAAATCACGAGGCGCTTCACAAAAACAAAAATATAAAACATTTAGAAAATAGTTAAAAATATATTTAAAATTAGCAAAAAATACACTGTTGTGATTAAAAATGTCAAGGAGAGAGAGAGTGAACAGGAAAGAGGGAAATCAGTGGATCCTGAGGAAGGTAGAATAGATGGTGAGAGCAGAACAAGGAGAGGGTGATGAAGGTCACACAAAAGCTTGGAACAGGTGAGTCTTCAGCTGCTTTTTAAAGGAGACCACTGAGTCCACTGATCTCAGGCTAAGGGGGAGAGAGCTCCAGAGTCTGGGGGCCACAGCAGCAGATGATCTGTCACCCTTGACCTTTAACCTGGTGCAGCACAACCAGTAGGCTTTGATCACTGGACCTCAGGGACCTGCTGGGGGTGTAGGGACTAAGAAGATCACCAATGTAAGATGGTGCTTGTCCATGTAAGGCCCTATAGACCAGAACCAGGATCTTGAAATGAACCCTGAAGTTGACTGGCAGCCAGTGAAGCTGGAGGAGAAGCGGGGTGATGTGGGTGTGTTTGGAGGACTTGGTCAGAAGCCGAGCACAGGCGTTCTGAACCACCGCTTTTTTATAAAATAAAGGTGGGATGTGAAGCCAAGTGTGATTTTCACTCGGATACATTGGGAGAAGAACGTCCATCACAATCATTTACAGGAATTGGATCTTTAAAGGGACTTTACGGAGTTTTGAATTTTTATGCTCGCGATCGCCCCCTCAGGCCAAAAGTGTAACGGCAGCTTAAATAGTAGGCTCGTGCACGAGGCGCGCATGCTGTACGTGCACACTCCTTAACGAAAATAACAGCTGAAACAGTCCCGTGTGTGTGTGTGTGTGTGGCCCAGAGGACAGGAGAACACGCAGCTAATTAAATAATTTGGTTCTGTAGCTTTCTCTTCAGCACAGCCGACAAAGGTTTAAGATGGGTCAGTCCTCCTGCATGCTCAGATCATTCCCTTCCCTTGCTTGAAAAATTGTTCCAAAATGAAAGTTGAACCCACATCTTTTTTATCTGTGAATTCAATGCCGTTCGGCGAGTCTCAAATAAAAATTTGGGCATCTTACTGTAAAAAAATTACCATTAATGTAAAAAAGAAACTCTAAATAAATTATGTTCACATCCAGAATCGAACCCAGGTCTTCTGCAATGAGAATCCGACGTCTTACTAGGTGAGCTAAAGCGCAACAGACATCCTTTTTATCTGTAACATTTATATCCTTGACAGCTGAAACAACGTTCAAAGAACGGTTCGGAGGGCGATGCCTGAGCGTGAACGCGCATGAAGCAGCCTGCTCGACCCGAGCATCTCTCTTTTTCTGTGATTTTACAGAAAAACAGACAATCACAGTAAAAATGCCAGGGCTCATTCTACAGGACCAGGGCGTTGCAGGAGAATGTATGAAGAAGACATTTATTATTTCTATACATGTTTTGGCTGTCAAACTTCCATAATGCCCCTTTAACCTGTTCTTCTGTAATCCCTCCTCATCCCATCTGAACCAAGTTAGTCACGGTTAGGATTTATGGCATGTTAGTTTTCTCCTTGAGAGTGGATTCTGATTGGCTCCCGGAGGACAGAGCTGACGTAAAACTGCACGATGAGTCCTTCAGTCCGTCCTGAAGAGACTTATTCTTCATTTACATCAGAAAACTCGTCTGGTGGGATTCGTTTTTCTCGCTGCTTTCGGGGTTTACAGCTTTGTTGTGGTGTTTTAATTGTCGGAGTTCTGAAGGCCGATTGATCGAGGTGTGACTGGAATACCGGACCTCAGAGAGGCCCGTAGAATTCAGTGATTGATAGTCCAATTAGGGCCAGTTTAATAACTGGGACATAGACAGGCTGAGTGGCCTGGCAGCCATTAATCACAGCGCGCGTGCATGTGTGTGTTTACACACACACGCACACACACACACGCACGCACGCACACACACACACCTTTTAATGCTTCTGAGGGCACCTGTGAACAACTTGAACTAGACTAATTTATGACCACACACTTCTCAAGGCTTTTGTCAGCCCAAACTTTCAGAACCACCTGTGTTTTTCCACGTTCCCATTGGATCAGCGGTAGGGACAGCCTGCTCGTGTGTATCAGCGGGTTGGACGGGTCATCGTGGATCCGCTCGTCTCACTAACCAGGCGAGACAGAAGCTGGTCCCATCAGTGAGTTGGGCCCCGGAGGGCGAGCAGCATCCTAAACGTTCGTCTGACACCCGAAGCCCACACGGATGAAAACGAGAGTTCTCTACAAATTAAAGGTCATGTGACACCAAGTGTTTGCTGCTGTGAAAAATTCAAAACAAAGTAGACAAATTTCAGCTAAAATACAGAAAAATCTTTCAAAACTCACTGGTTTCAATCTTAATTTGCAACAAGGAACCTCATGTTTTAAATCTTTTCATAAATATTTCTGGGTTTTCTCTAAATGTTTACGTCTTTAGTTAAGGAATAAAAATATCAAATGAAATGATGAATCATCTCTTTCAACAAAATCCTGCAGCAGCCTGGCGAGCCGCACTATACCGATCGGTCACGAGCCACAGAAACGAGTCTCCGGTTGACTTTGAAACCGTGCTAAGACCAGTCAGAGCAAACTCATAACTGCAGCTTCTTTCCTGCTTAGGTCTATGTTCTAGATGCTGTTTAGACGTGATTTGTGAGCTTCTCCCCCTCAACGCCTCACTTTAGTTTGTAACTGAATCTCTTCCTGTTGAAGCACTTTGGTGCAGACCTGATCGATTAGCCTCAGAGCGTTGCTGCTAAAGGCCTGTGAAGGTCTGTGGAAGGTAAAGGCTTAATGAGGTCCTGCACCTGATGGCTTAAGAGGGAATTCGTCGTCTTTCTCCATCTTTTCTCCCATTCTGTTGGAGGGGAGGGCTTAATGTGTCGGACCTCTGGCTGATGCTAGTAGCTGTTGAGTTTTGTTCACTTTCAGGTGTCTGTAGGAATTCAGTCTGAGCCTCTACGTCCACAGGTGTCCTCTCCCGCTCCCTGTCCTCTTCGTCGTCTTCACTGGACTCTCAGCATGGCCGGGGCGCCCGACCCCGCCCTCTACCGAGGCAGCGTCTCTCCACCAGGCAGCGCAGGGAGAATATTTCTCCTAATCCCAGGACAACCCCGTCACCGGTGCTGCGCTCCTCGTCTCGCCCCACGGCTGCAGGTGCTGCTGAGTCCAGCTCTGATTCGTCACGTCGATGATCTAGATAAAGTCTCTGATTCCTCTCTCCTCGCAGGTTTCAGGAGTAGAACCCCGTCGGGGAGCAGCTCGGTGTTTGACGGTTCTGAGGTCCGGCTGGGGGAGAGAGTGCTGGTGGCGGGAGAGAGAACCGGAGTGGTTCAGTTCTGTGGGAACACCAACTTTGCTCCTGGTCAGTTCTACAGTTTATGATTCTGCAGATGAAATAAAATGTGAAGGTTTATTTGTTATCAGTGAATCACAGCTGGACAAAATACTCCTAGACTCACTCGGCTAAAACCGAAGAAAAAAAAAACTCCCTTAGGACTTTTATCATTTGACAGAAACAAATGGATGTTACTAAATAGTTAAACAGATGTTTTTTCTTTTTCCCCCCACATATACTAAATCTGACCTGTTTAAATCACAAATTATAATCTAGCAGAGGTGGTTCATTTTGTTTTATCACATCCAAATTAAAAGTATAGAGACTTGTAGCCTCTTGAAGGACTCTTGGAGCTCCTTGGGGAAGTCTTAGACCTCCTGAAAAAGTTTTGGAGCTCTGGGAGGAGTCTTGAAGCCCTCTAGGGGAGTCGTGTACCCCCTTGAAGAGTCTTGGAGCTCCTGGAGAACTCTTGGAGCCCCTTAGAGGAGTCTTGGAGCCCCATGAAGGACTCTTTGAGCTGGGGGAGTTTTAGACCTCCTGGAGGAGTCTTGGAGCCCCTTGAAGGACTCTTGGATTCCCTTTAAGGACTCTTGGAGATCCTGGAGAAGTCTTGGACCTCCTGGAAAAGCTTTGGAGCTCCAGGAGGAGTCCTGAAGCCCTCTAGGAGACTCTTGGACCCCCTTGAAGGAGTCTTTGAGCTCCTGGAGGACTTCTTGAGGCCCTGGAGGAGTCTTGGGGCCCCTTTAAGGACTCTTTGAGCTCCTGGAGGACTCTTGGAGCTCCTGGAGGAGTCTTGGAGCCTCTTGAAGGACTCTTCGACCTCCTGGAGGACTCTTGGAGCCCCTTGAAGGACTCTTGGAGCTCCTGGAGGAGTCTTGGAGCCCCTTAGAGGAGCCTTGGAGCCCCTTGAAGGACTCTCGTAGCTTCTGGGGGAGTTTTAGACCTCCTGGAGGACTCTTGAATCCCATTGAAGGACTCTTGGAGCCCCTTGAAGGACTCTTCAACCTCTTGGAGGAGTCTTGGAGCCCCTTGAAGGACTCTTTGACCTCCCGGAGGACTCTTGGAGCCTCTCTAAGGACATTTAGAGATCCTGGAGGACTCTTGGACCTCTTGAAAAAGTTTTAGAGCTACGGGAGGACTCTTGAAGCCCTTTGAAGGACTCTTGGAGCTCCTGGAGTCGTCAGCCTCCTGGAGGAGCCTTGGAGCTACTGAGTCTGAAGCTGCTGAACTTGTTTGTGCAGGAGTCTGGTTGGGAGTTGAACTGGACAAGCCGAGTGGTAAAAACGACGGGTCTGTTGGAGGTGTGAGATACTTCAGCTGCCCTCCCAAACATGGCGTCTTTGCCCCCCCGTCGAGAGTTCAAAGGTGAGGGATGACTCTTTTAGAAGAAACATTGAAGTGAATTCTTACGGCTGGGTTTCTGTGACGACTGACATGTCTGTCTGCTGATAACCGGAGTTATGAGACGGGACGCTTTGGGGCGTTCCCTCAGCACGTCTCCTCAGCTTAATGTGACACTTTGTAATGAGCCAGATGCTAAAACTTCTGCTTTCAATGGAAATAATGGAAGATCAATATGTACACAGCAGGCTGCCAATAAAATGTGTCAGGGAAGATGTTTGGATAAAATGATGCACGGATGAAGTTATTCTAATCCAGATTAGTGCGCAGGTTTGTTCTTGACATCCTCCTGGTCACAGATTTAGAGGATCATGTGGTCTGGGTTATCTTAGACTTATATAGTTTCAGTTGTTCAGATCCTCCTGAGCTTAGGTCTCTTGCGGGGTACCACAGGGATCAGTACTTGGAGCTCTGCTTGTTTCTTTATGCATACATCTTCTCGGCTGTATTTTTAACACCCTGGTCAGATGAGGTCAGTTTGTTTAGTGGCAGTAGGACCTCGTCTTTGCTTTTTGTGGATGATGTCATCTTAGCGCCGTCAAACTGTGACTTTCAACTTAAGAGAAGTTCACACCCAACCATGGAGTGGATGGGATGAGGATTAGCACGTCATATTTCCGTGCCACGATTCTCGACCGGAAAAGGGAGGATAGCCAACTCGGGGTCAGTGACGTGGAGGAGGTAAAGCACCCCAGGGTCTTGTTCACGGGGGAAGGAGGGAGTGAAATCAACAGGCGGATCAGGGAGACGCCGGTCTGATGTGGTGAAGAAAGGGAGCTAAGCCCGAAAGCAAAGATCTCAGTTTACCGGGAAATCTTAGTTCCTAATTTCACATCTGGTTGAGAGCTTTGGGCTTGACTGAAAGATCCACATCATGAATACAAGCGGCTGATAAGTTTCTTCCGTCGGGTGGTCGAGGTCAGAGACGGGGTGCGGAGCTCGGAGATCCGAGAGACTTGAGTAGAGCCGCTGCTCCCTCACGACGAGAAGAGCCAGCTGAGGGTTTTCAGGAATTTCCTGCTGGCGGGAGGCCCCCTAAGTCACAAAAAGGACTTCTCTGTGATTGGCTGACTCTAAAAACAGGACAGAGGGGATGTCTTTTATCTGTAGGTTCTGGTTTCTTTATCTGCTGAACAGGATAAAACACGATTTCACTCTGAAGGATAAACCAGATCATCTGTTGTCTTTCTTTGTAGGAAATCTAATAAACACAAACGTCTCAGTAGAGAAGGACAAAACCACATAAGTTTTATTTGTAGTAATTCCTGCTTTGTTCTGATTTGTATTTGGACGTATTTTAACTTTAATAAACTCATGAAACTGCTTCGTTGTCCGATGGCGCGTCAACACAAAGGGTCCTGCAAGAGACTGCTGCCTTCATTTCTTCCCATAATTAGTCTTCCTTTCTTTTCCTGATCCCGTAGATGAAAGCAGCATTTTTAGAAAGCAGACTTTTTGTTTTTATTTGTCTTTTTATTTCCTAATTAACCTCTGGGAACAACCAGCGCTTTCCAGCTGTCTAATGAAGAATTTCACATTTTCATCCAGAAGCTCGTTTCTCCTCATTTCTTCAGGCAGCAGCCCGTCCTCCCACACACTCGCATTTGGTTTTTATCCTCTAAACAGGTTTTTTATTTCTATAGAAAAGCCTTTTCTGATTGACCGCTGACGGTTCCTTTCTCCCTCTCAGGATCCACGGTTCGGTGGATTGCCTCTCAGAGCTCACCACGTCACGCCTCAGCCGTCCGCCCAGCGGTGAGAATCGTTTTCATTAATCTGAAGCTAATTTTTTTGCATCGCTCTCCTTTGAAGCCTCTGACTCTTGTGATTGGTGTGCAGAAACGATTCGCCGCAGCTTCAGCACGTCGTCGGCCATTGCTGCTCCAAAGGAGATGAGCAGGAGGAGCCCAGTCAGCAGGTGGGATGTTCTCCTCGGCTTCATCCTGATGGGTTTTAGTTTTGGAATCAGTCCAGACTCATCTTTAATCTCTTGACTTTTCCTACAAACTCATTATCTCTAAAAATCTTTCTTGCTGTTTTATTCTTTTCTCCACAAATCAAACGTAAAAACCAGAAGTCGCTCCAATCCGCACCGCCGCCGCTGGAGCACCCTGAGTGGCAGCAGCGGCGGATTTCCTGGGAACTCGTCCGGTTCCGGTCCGTCGCCCGGTTCTGATGGACAGGTGCACCTCCGTGTGGGCATGCAGGTGTTCCTGAGCAGCGCCAACGAGATGGCCATCATCCGTTATCTGGGAAAGGCGGACTTCGCTCCGGGCCTCTGGCTCGGCCTGGAGCTCCGGAGCCCGAAAGGGAAGAACGACGGCTCGGTGGGAGGCCGCCGCTACTTCAGCTGCCGACCCGGCTACGGCGTGCTGGTCCGACCCAGCCGCATCACCTACCGCGGCATCAACGGCTCGCGCCTGATGAACGAAAGAAGCTGAAGGAGTTTTTTATGATTCCTGACAGGAAAACCAAACGCTGACCGGAGACGGAAAAGCACTTTAGAAGATGAACTCTAAAAGATTCCGTTTGGACAGAATTCCTGACCATCTGCACTATTTCTAAACCCGATTGCACTGACAGAACCTGATTAGATCGCCGTGTGAAAAGAAAGTTAATTTAGAGCCTTTCAGTTCTGATTTTATCAGATAATTATGATTTACTTGTGTTTTTAGGGGGTTAGGGTCAGAAAAGAGATGATTGTTGATTTTTGATAGATTTCATCAAAACTGGATTTGAATCCAATCAGTTAATAAAAGACGAGTAAAGTTCTGCCAAACGTGATCAGCCTGATGTGCGAATCATCAGCTAGTGCTGAAGGTTATTAAAGACGTTTTAAATTGTGTTTCTGTGGAAAAGTTATACATTTTTATCATCACCCTTTGCTAGTAGCTTTGCCCTTTAGCTGGAATTCATTCACATTTCTGCCAAAACAATCATAACTCCGCAGCCTTTAGTAGTGACCACTGCAGGACTCAAGGAACTTCCTGTAATCCTTCACAATAAGGGTCCCAAACACACTCGTGTCCCTTAAAGCACCTGAAAGTTATTACATAGTTTATTAAATATATTTTCTAGTGAAATCAAGGTATTTTACAGGCAGAGATGTGCTAAGGTTCATGTTTTTAATGATCATCAGCGCATCCAGAACCTCCTCTTTTCCTGCTCTTCAGCGGTGATCATACGCTGCTGTGGTTCAGGAAGCTTCCTGCTGGGGCTAAGATGGTGATTCTTTATAATTTTCTCATAGAAACATGTCACCTTTTGGCTGGGATCACAAATCAGATGGTTAAATTATTTAATAGGAGTCTGAAGGATTTTTCCATTAAAAAAAGGTGGTTTCTCCTTTAGTTTTGAATTCAAAGTTTTGAACATCAAGTCTGAATTTAGGAAAAACATCAATATCAAGTCTTCCTTTATAATCCTGCAGGGTTTGGCTGAATTTTTCCCTCAGAGTGTCTAATAATTAAAGCTGCTTGTGACAGGAAATACATGTGACGACTCCGGCGTTTTCAGTTTCCTTCTGATTGCAGCGTTTGAGCAGCAGAGAACAAGCCATTGATTGTGCATGTGGAAAACAAGGCCACTACTCAGTAAAACCCTCGTGCTCCATCCAATTAGAGCGTGCAGGCCACAACAGTAGCTGCAGCATCTCCAGTGGCCTTCTCTCATTGATCTGTTTTGGTCAGACCCACCCCCCCACGTGACGGCAGAGCTGAGCCCAAGGTTGTCTGAAACGTGTGCAACACATGATACAAAAACAAAGCATCCAAAGTGAAAACACTCATCAGAACTTCGTTTTTACTTTGAAAATAACACCTCCTTCATATAGAAGCATCTGTTTTGAGTCTGTGCGGCCTAAGGAGTCGCTCTAACATATTTATACTAAATAAAGCATTCTGCTCCACTTTAACCTCGTGTTTGTCTCCTTTCTGTGGTTCTGGATGTTTTAGGATCATTGATAAGAACCAGCGGGTCCGACCTCTGTCCGAGCTGAAAACCACTCGCCACCGGAGCGGCTCTGTCAGCTCATCGCCAGCCGGGCGTCACAAACTCGGCTCTGAATAGGAGTGGCATGCCTTATGACTCCATGATTGTAGAGCAAGTTGATGTTTGCTTTAAGTTGTTTTCTGTGCTTATTTGTTGCTTATGTTTGTAGTTTGAACAGGAGAGAAGGAATGAGGGAAAGGTTCCAGAGGTTCCACTTGTCCACAAGGTAAGACACCAGACGTACAGCTGGAGCAACGCACCTCAGATACAAGAAAAGTATAAATTTTCAACTGTTTAATCCTGGAAATAAGAAAATTTAATGTTTAAAAACAAATGTGTGCTAATCTTGCATCAATTAAACAATGATCAGTCTCTTTTATGCAACTGTGTAATAATACAATTATAAAAACTAAATCTGGAGCGTGCAGCACTTGCACCATCTGCCCAGAAGGCTGACGACGTGGTTTTGAGGAAGGTACTAATCCTGTTAAAGAAGTAGAGCTCTCAGGAACTGAATAAGGCTCTGAGATGTTTGTTAGGGGATCTATTCACCCTGCTCTAATTTTGATTGACTTCTGTTTTAAAGGAATCTGAATGGAAAGCTGTCACTTTACTGCGGTGGAGGGGTTGGAGTGTCCCAGCGATCCTGGGAGCTAAGCTGTCTGGTAGGATCACCCATGGCAAACAGGTCCTAGGTGAGGGATCAGACAAAGCAGCCCAAAGACCCCTCACCTGGATGTGGGTCACGGTGGCCCCTTCTGGAGCCTGACCTGGAGGTGGGGCACGTTGGCGAGCGCTTGGTAGCCGGGTTTTCACCCGTAGAGCCCGGCTGGGCACAGTCCAAAGAGGAGATGTGGGTCCTGACCAGTTTGTGCTTATGAACCAAACTACAGTTCAGACTACCCACCCTTTTGGAGACATTGGAGGAGGTGCTGGAGAGGTCTCCTTCCAATGACTTCCTCGTTCTGCTGCTGGCGGATTTGAACGCTGACATGGGCAGCGGCGGTGAGACCTGGAGGGCTGTGGTGGGGAGGAACAGCCCCCCCCGATCTGGACCTGAGTGGACTTCTGTGCTCCTTATGGAGGAGCTGGTCCGAGTGGCTGGGGAGAGGAGAGGGAAGTCTAGGCCTCCCTGCGTAGGCTGCTGCCCCGCGACCTGACCCCGGATAAGTGGAAGAGGGTGGATAGATGAAGTGTAAATGTTTTATTGAGAAGTTGGTGTTAAAGTAAAATAAAACAAGTTTCAGACTTAATGGAAACACTTGTGCTTAGATAGAAAAGTAAATAACAGATTTTCCTTTTGAAGTTTTTCTCTGAAATTCAAAGTAGTGATTAGAAATTCCTTTTTTTTTTCCTCCATCATCCATCGATCCTGATAGATGCTTGACCGTGAGAGTTTTTCTTTGTTCCACGCGCTCCTTCTTTTTCCTCCTGTGGTCTCAGTATTGATAAACCAGCAGGGCTCCTTCTGTTTTAGCAGCACTTTAACAACTTTATCGTCACTGTTGTAGGTTTGCTTAGAGCTCATAGAAGTTTTGGTTGATTTATACTCACCATCTGAACCTGACGTTTGCAAATATTCTAGACCAAATCAGATCAAATCAAAGATACTTTATTAATCCCAGAGGGAAATTAGAGTTTCAGTACACACAATTCAGAGATCAGACCTACATGGGCAAGACACATGACAAGAACTGGTGACTGTGGTCATTCGCAACCCTGAGTCGCGCTACCTTAATAGAGATAAGAGGGTTACATGAGGATTGATTCAGGTGGAGGGAAAAAAGGCACTCCAGAGTGACCTTTTGCTCTGCAAAAAAAAAAAAAAAAAACACCTCAAACATATATGCAACAGACTTCAGACATCACAACATAAGTGTCCACTAGGTGGGGTGGTGGGTTGGGACTATCCCCATGTCACCTCAGTATGGATGGGGGAGGAGCATTGAGGGTTGGAGGGTTGCAGTGACCCTTGAACGTTTCAGCGGCCTTCCCGCAGTCCTGCCCAGGCTAGGATAGGAGACCGAGTTGAGTTGCCATAGCGACAGCACATTCCACATATCTTCTGAGGGGGGAGTTTTCGTTGTAGCCTTGCAGGCTCAAGGACGCCAGATTCTGATTAGAAATTGTTTTGGGGCCAGACAGAGATAATTTCCTCTCTGTCTTACAGTCTGTTGGTCCTCAACCTCTCAAAGTCTCAATAATGGACGTTAATCTATCCCAATCCGTGCTGATTCGTCCACTCTCTCCTTGATGGCATCCATCTTTGTGCCAAAGAATGAATCTCTGCCAAAGTCCCAAGCTTACGATTCATCTCGACAATTGTGTGAGTCTGTGAATTCACAGCGTGATGCAATCCATCTCTGAGCTCCGGGATCAGGCCAATATTCCTCGACAGCTCGTTAATTTTCCGGTAAGCCGGGTACCCTCCAATGCCGATCAGCAGGAAACCCGACACCAACACCACAAATATCCACACATCTTCAGAGTCCTCCACAGACAGCTGAGATAAACAAATCAAGTTCCACTGTTTCCAGGAGTCCATGATGTGTCCAACTGGGTCTGTCATGGAGGGGCCTCCGGGAGTCCCTTCTCCTGTTCTCATCGTTGAAAATTTTTTATTAATCACGTTGAGAGACCAACTGACGAGAGCCATTTAAATGTATTTCAGTTTCCCGTTTCCAGAAAAATGCAGAAGCAGCCATGCACCCAGCACCCAGAGACAAAGGCCTTAAGGATAAGATTTGGAGGAGAGGAGGAAAAAAAGCGTCTGCACCCTCCAAGAGCCGGAAGAAGAAATAACTAGTTTAACTGGTTTAAGTTTAGAGACGAGTTCGTTCACATCTGTTTTTTGTCATTTATATTAATATTGGTTGATAACTGTTTAAAGAGGCTTCATCACTTTTATTTTACATTTCCAGTATTGTTATATTATTATACGTGGTATAATTTTCATCTCTGCACGAGCAGCTCCTCCAGCATCAGGTTATTTGCTGCAGACATCTTCTCTCGTGTTTCTCGATCAAGACTTTTGTTTTCACTTTTGAAAGGTTTTTGTTCCAGCACCAGTTTATTATGATGTTATTTGTGTCTGTTTTGCATTTAGTGAAATTCTGCTGCTTTCTACTGTTTATCTGTTTAGTTGCAGTGAAGAAAAGGCTTGAAATGATTTGGAGTGTGTTGACTTGTTTATTGTTTATTATTCAGGTGTTATTAGATACGTTTGTGCCACTCTAGACATGTTTCTATCTAAATATTAAAAGGCCTATTTATTTAGCGCCATCTTAGGGTTCTACAGCCCCCCCAAGGCGCTTCACAACACAATCGCTCATCCACACATTCACACACTGGTGATGATGAGCTACAATGTAGCCGCAGCTGCCCTGGGGTGCACTGACAGGGGCGTGGCCTGCTGAACAAAGGCGCCTCCGGTTCTTCCATCCACCACCAGCAGGCAAGGTGGGTTATACGTCTTGCCCAAGGACACAACAGCAGCAGCATTCTCTGCTAAGAGTCGGCATCAAACCTGCAACCTTCCGATTACTGGACGACCCGCTCTACCTCCTGCTGTCTATAGCTTCCTCTTACACATCCATATTGGTGTAAATATGTATATTCTGTGTATCTGTATGTATATGTTTGTGTATATGTACAGGTGTGCATATTTTTACGCGTGTCTGTGCTTTATGTATGTTTATATTTATGTATGTATTTGTATTTATGTGTCTTTAGGTGTGCACAAGTGTGTTTGTATTCATACATCTGTTTGTTTTTGGATGTTTATGCATGTTGTATATGTGTAGGTATGTTTGTATGCATGTATGGGTTTCTATGTATGTATTTGTACTCGTCTGCATTTGTCTAGGTATACAGTACGTGTGTGTGTGGTCTTGCTTTTGTGCTTTTATTTTTTCAGTCCTCTTTTTTGTTTTTCTTTTTCTAGTTTAAATAACTTCATTCAAACAGATGTGTGGGTTAAATGGAGTCGTCAGCAGAGCGAGGAGCTCAGAGCCACCATCACCACAGTGAGCTGATGGGAAACAAACCATCTCAGAGTGAAGTGGGATGAGTCTACCTTTAACATGATGGAGAGGAGAACATCTGGGGCCTGAACAAGATCATCTTTGTACTTATTAGGACACGAACATGTATGATATTTTAAATGCGTTTTAGGAAATGCCCTACAGTATATTTTAATAAGTTTTTAGGACTCATACTATAGTTTGAAATTATTTTTACATTTTCAGGACACAAACTGGTAATATTTATAGATTTATGACACATACCTTAGTATGATATATTTATACATTTTTAAAGACATATACTGTAGTATGATATTATTTATAAATTTTTAGGACACATAACTATAGTATGATATCATTTATACATTTTAAGACACATTCCTTAGTATGATATTTTTTATACATTTTTAAAACACATACTGTAGTATGATATTATTTATACATTTTAAGACACTTACCTTAGTATGATAGTTTTTTATACATTTTTAGGACTCATACTATGGTAATATTTATAGATTTATGACATACAATAGTATGATATTTTTTATAAATTTTTTAAGACACGTACTGTAGTATGATATTATTTATACATTTTTAGGACACATAACTATAGTATTATATATACATTTTAAGACACATACCTTAGTATGATATTTATACATTTTTAGGACACATAACTATAGTATGATATTGTTTATACATTTTTTTATACATTTTTAGGACAGCATGATATTATTTATGCATTTTTAGGAGAGATACTATAGTATGATATTTATAGATTTTTAGGACACATACTATAGTATGATAGTATTCAAACATTTTTAGGACACATACTATAGTATGATATTTATGCATTTTTAGGACACATAACTATAATATGATATTATTTATACATTTTAAG